CCTGTTTTCCTCATTACATATGGAGGTTCATGGCCTGTTTCCTATAAATGAAAGCCCTGATGAAGACACCTTTAAGGTCAAAACATGCTGGATGTTACAAGGAACAAAGACACTCTAAAGCTAGGGTACCTAATTTGAAACATGAAAAAGAGAGGACCACCCTCACTGAGCCAATCAGTTCTCAGTCCAAAGGCGGACTAGTTCTTTCAATAATCCCAAAGTCAAAATGCTTCCTAATACAAACACAGAATTTAATTATTGTTACAATGACAAGACTCTTTCTGTTGAGACAAACAAAATGCATTATTTAACTTACAAAAAGAGTGAGGTTATCTAAGTCAAGGCTTGAACCAAGGCTTTAATCAAGGCTCCCTCTCAGATTTTGTACTATGAGCCCTTCAGAGAAGTAGTGCCTGGATTGTGAGTTTTTTCAAAGTCTGTATTTCCAAAAGCACTTCATACCATTATAACATGTAAACTTGGGTTTCGTCTGCTACTTGTAGAATGTGTTCATATCAATACATATTACTAGATGAGAGAAAACAAATATATATCATGTTTAAATAGAGCTTCCTTCACAAGGTCAGTGAGTTTGTGAGTTGTATTTGGTGTCATTTAGTTGCATTGGACAACATGAGTGGGTGAACGTTGCCCTGGCTCTCTCCGTGTTTGTGCTGTGCAGTGATGAGTCAGTCCTCTTCATGTTAATGGGCTGTCCACTGGAGCAGGGCTCAGGCTCGTACATGTCTCTAGAGTGAGATTACATATTTGCAACCTAATTGAATTCATGGTCCTTGTAGTAGCAGTTTTTCAAAGAATACTGTCACTGTAACATGTTAAACACTGAATTGCTGATCAATTGTTGAAATTGTTATCTAAATTAGTAGTACTTTCTGGATTGTTAAGCACACTTGTACAAACCCTATCAGCTAAATCAAAGAAAACTTATTTTTTGTCTGCATATTGGCCACACTTTAATGCAAGCTGCAGGTGTCATGTCATATTGTGACACTTAACCAACAGCCAGACACAACATGATTTAATGACATTATGGTCAAAGCACAATCTAAAGAAAAATATCTTTGAAATGTCATGCAAGCCCATATAAATCTCATTCTTTCATTGTTTTGAAGTTTGTAAAATTCTTGGAAGTACCTGCAAAACCTCTGTTTACCCCTAGGGCTCTGCGTACCCTACCAACTATATAGCAATGTGACCAATGTATATATTTTTATTTTGTTAGAGCTCGCTTGGCGTGCAGGAAGGGATTTGGCACAGTTCTATCAGCTGTTAAACTGAAGGGCTGATGACTAAGCACACATTCCTACTTCCCGGTGTGTTTATGTGAACAGCAGAAAGATCTTTTATGTGATTTTGGGCTATTGTCAGAACAGTGTTTATGGACATACCACATCAAGTTTAAGGAGTAATGCACTTGTCAAATGGATTTAGCAGAGTGCTTTGATGATCATCATTAAATCATGTTGTGATCATTTAAAACGTTGTCTTTACGTAAATATATTTATCTGTGTTGTAAATATACACTATTGCACTACTGGTTAGAACCTAAACTGCATTTTGGTGCATTTTTCCGGAATTGTAATCTATCTGCTTGGTATTGCTCCATCAGCTGTTGGTTAAGTATTTCATTACAACACTAAAACCAGTGGCTTATATTCAAGTGTAGCCTATATGTGGGGGGTTAAAAACATATTTTCAAATGTAGCTGTTGCGGTTTAAACACAGGTTCGGTTAAAGGTCCACCAAAGAACTACAATCATCCATCCATCCATCCATTTTCTACCCTTTAATCCATTTCTGGGTCAGGGGGGTGGCAGTCAGAGATGCCACCCAAGTCTCATAGCACCAGCCCCTCACTGTCCCTCTGCAGGTGGTGAGTCCACAGGAGGACGGCTGCTCTCTGAGTGTGAGCATAGCCTTGATCTTTCAGTGGGGGCTTTTTGGGCAAAGTGGGGTTAAGTGTCTTGCCCAAGGACACAACGACAGCAGTCATCAGTGGGAGTCGGTGGAGAAGGTGTAGAGGTGGGAATTGAACCCACATCCTTCAGGCCTGAAGGCCAATGCTCTACCAACTGAGCTACTGTCGCCCCAATCAGTGAATCTTAATTAAAAAAGGCCGACTAATCTCTAGCCCGAAAGGTATAGTTCAGTTTTGGGTGAGAGGAGTAAGCATCATATTTTATTGCTTTTCTGGTATCGTAATTCATCACTTTAAAATGCAATAAAGGAGACAGCGGTAGTGATGGATAGAATGGAATAAGCGGGACGATAATAACAGTAATAGATAGCTGTACATATCTTTCTCTCAATTGTGGTTTCCTTCTTTGTTCGTCCACAGCATAAACTGCACACGCTAGCAAAATGTCTCTTGGTCCACTTACTCATTTATGTATTTAGTTTTCATAATAGCCACCCTCTACAGCTTCTCCAGACTTCCCCCGTTAATAATCGGAAAATATTCTTTGCTTGTTAGTGGTCAGAACAACAGCAGCATAATTATTTTACTGCAAGGGCCACGTCTCTCCCAGTGTGGATTGGACTGATGGATCCCACTTCCTCCTGACGACCATATACGGCAAGATGTTATGAGTATCACGGCCACCGGTTGGCTCTGTGTTACTATGGAAACCCCTGCTCACCGGAGATCCCCCCTGCCCCTCCCACTCCCCTCTCTCCACATCCTTTTCCCATTCTTTCACCCGCATCAGCACCACCAGCATGCATAACTACGAGGCACTGGAGCAAGCTCTGGGGGGGGATTACACACGAATGATTTAGAGAGACAGGCATGAAGCAGAAAGGAGGGAAATTATATATGGAAAAATAAGCGTGGAGGAAATAATAAATACTTGTTATGAATGGAGCAGAATAAGTAGTGTCCCCACCTCCCTTCATGCTCAATCATAACATTTATTTTCTCTCAAGGCCAAGACAAAATGGGCAAGGCTCCAGGCTCCATGCGCTCTCAGTAAACACAAGTTTTACTTGCCTGTTTTATTACAAGCAAAGCCCTATAGAGCTAAAATAGAAAAATAAAAATCCTTTGAAAATATTGACATTCTGAATAGAAAAAGACAAAATAAAGAATACATTTTGTTATGCTGTGTATTTCACCCATGGCAGGTCCTTATTTATAGATATGGTAATCAGTAGGGATTTTATTGTTGGGATTGAAAAATTAACAAGTAAATGCCTATCGTAAAACTGCATGAAGAATGACTTGATTGAATGTAAAAAATGGCATAGCTCTTAAGGTGCCAAAGTAGCAGAAACCAGGACGCTTTCTAGTTTGTATTCATTTATTTGTTTACTTTTATCTAAACAGGGAAGCTCCACTGAGTGCTCAAAATCTCTTTTTCAGTGGAGTCCTAGGCCCACAGAGAGAAGAGCTTTTGTATGTGTGTTAAGTGGTAGAGGGAACTGGAAACCCCAGAGTAAACCTACACAGACACAGGGAGAACAAGCAAACTCCTCTCAGAAAGGCACTGTCCCGAAGTTGAATCAAACCTCCTTATTGTTGGGAAGCAAAAGTACTTCTTCCACTGTTCCGCCCTGCAGCGACCTGGCTTTTCACAAACATTTCCGTTTATTTATCTTGCATTTATTTTTTTCATGTTTTTGTCTTGTGGATTTGAATCTATAACTTCAAGAAATTAGGGCTCCACTTTTTGTCTGTTTCACATCAAATTCCCGAAAAAAAAATCTAGTGGCTATGGGTTAATGTGAACCATTCCCTGTTGAGCCCATGCAACTCATACACTAACCCCTGAATCATTCTTAATAGACCATTTCTAAAGGGTTTGTTCATTGTGTCTTTATTGAGGCTAATCTACAGTATAATGTAAGTGCAGCCATTGAATCCTCCAACACTGCAGACGGCCTTCAGACGCTGGATCAGAACAAACAAGGCTGTTATGAATGTGATTTGCATGAGTGATTCTGCGATGGACAGTGATGCAGGAGAAAACAATGGCACAAATGAACGAGCTCCACTGATGTCATCGCCATGGTGATCTGCATCACTGTCCAGACACTATTTTCAGTGTGTGAAGCAGCACAGATGACATCAAACTGTGGAGTGTTACAATAGTTTAACGGGTTAGTAATAGGCTGAGGATGTGATTTCAAAATCAGTGATTCTTCAAAAACAGATCAGAGAATCAAACAGTTAAAACACAGGGAATACAATAATAACAAACCGATAGAAGCCATTTGTCCAAAGGGTGATGATTAATTTTCATAAATGTTAATATAAGTCTATAAGGTATTCATTACAAATGTCCTTAAATGTCACAGATCATCACTGTCCTTAGATCCTCCTGAATCCTCAAAGGAAACGTTTTTCACTTCTTTATATCTCAAAAACCACCCCCTCTTCTTCAGGCCACATGAATGCCATATATTTTAAAAATAGATTGTGGATCTTTGTGTAGAGTTCTTGTTTCAAGATTGGCCCAGGAATTAAAAAGAAATAAGCTATAAACTAGACGAGACGTTTGATCTTTGACAGATACCAGGAAAGGACTACAATTTAAAAATGTAGGCTCTTTCAAATACAACCTGTGGGGACTGTAAGCTAACCCTTGTCTTAGTCCTATCCCTAACCTTAACCAAACTAGCTTTTCCTAACCCTTACAGTAACCAGACTGTGATTCATAAATGCATATTTGAACAAATAAATAACAAGGTCAGCACGATACGAAATAGATGTTAGTGAGTCCCGGAGTGCAAAGCTGTAACTGTCAGTCACTTCTATTTTTTTTTTTAAAAATGCATTTATTTGCATATGTTAAATCCACTTACACTGTGTGCGTTGACTTTTGACTTGGTCTGGGGTCGTATTTGCATAGATACATAAACAGATTACACAGATGAATGATGATGTGTTGTCAATTAGCTAATGGCCTCTGTGTCTGTTTTCCCCTTTCCTCATATTTCTTTTTTCCCGCTGCGTGGCGTCTCTCTCTGGGCTTCTGCAGCTGATATCATCTCCACAGTCGAGTTCAACCACACCGGAGAGCTCCTGGCCACAGGGGACAAGGGAGGTCGAGTGGTCATCTTTCAGAGGGAACCTGAGGTATAAGCACAAACACATTTCACCGGAAAAAAAAACACACTCAACCCTACAAACTGCACTCATGGATAAATGAGGAGTTTTTGGATTGGGTTTGCCTCGTAAACTCTTTCATTTTCATTTAATTTCATTTATTGAGCGCTTTGGTGTCATATACGTACAGATTACACCACAGATGGCTCATAGGATTGTTATAATTATGGGTGACATTATTGTGACAGTTTTATTATATATTAGATTAATGTTTTTTTTGATAGAATGACAGCTGTTCTGAATATAAATATTATTTATCGGTGATCTCGAACTGACGACATCACAAGAGTCAAAAAGTTTGGCAGAATTTACAACTAAATCAAAGTATATGCACTCTTATAAAACATATTTCCATGGTATACTGGAGGAGCTATGGCCCAGTTTGGAAACATCCTTCTGGTGGTGTTGTCAAAACCACAAAGTAAAATTGTTTGATAGAATTATGCCATTATTCCTAAATCCCTAAATAAAATCTAGCTAAACTGTATTATGTTTCCCTGGTTGCTATCTTTAATATATATACGACTACTTTATTGTCAGACAGTCCCTTACTCCTTACCAATTATCTGTACTTTCCACTGTTTCACAATCATGATTTACAGATGTTTAACACATGTGTGTCAAAGTAAAATGTTGTGGCCAAGATCACAGATTAGATAACAAGTCTGTGTTCTTTCCTGCAGAGCAAGACTGAGCCCTTCTCGCAGGGAGAGTACAATGTCTACAGCACCTTTCAGAGCCATGAGCCCGAGTTCGACTATCTTAAAAGTTTGGAAATTGAGGAGAAAATCAACAAGATTCGATGGCTGCCACAGCAGAATGCGGCACACTTCCTCCTGTCCACCAACGGTAGGAGAAAACCAAATAAATATCATAGTTTAGATTCTATAATATGTATTATGTAATTAACATTAGTGGATCAGGTGGTCTGTTGGTAGGTTGCTGGTTCTGAGGTACTTTAGAAGAAAGGATCCTATACAGTGAGTTTATGGAATTATTGGAAATCTATAGAGCACAGCGTCCCTGATTTATTTAAGTGCTTTATTATTTATGATTCAGGGTATGAAAAATGTACGACCTGTCATACCGGCTGGCTGATATCTGCCTGAATGCTTTCCACCTTTTTCAATAGAAACCAACATCATCTTGTCAAGTTCAGGCCTTGTTCACAACTTGAATTATTCCGTTAAATGGAAAATGCTGTTGTAGTACGTTGCCTTGTGTGTTTTAACTGTTGGATTCGCTGATCTGTGTTGGTGAATTCAACGGTTTTGTTTTTGTCCTCTGTGATAACAACTGTTATGATTTAGGGATATACAAGAATACTTTGAATTTAATTGAATTATGTATCTTAGATTTGGATGCATGATTGAAGTGTGGTCTACCTGCTATAAAAACCCTACACTTACGATGTTATCATAGTTTTACCAATAGTTTAGATTATAGAATAATAATAACCAATCATTTCAATGCATTAGTTTTGCTTGGCTTTTGCATTAGTATTTTCACATTCTCTAAAATAAAATACACAAACATGAATGATAAACAATAATTAACTAGACTTGCTGAACTACTTAGCGTATTTATCTCTTTAATCCTATATTTCATGGCGTGTGATACCCTAACATTGGCCTTTGCATTGCAGATAAGACCATTAAGTTGTGGAAGGTGAGTGAGCGAGACAAGCGACCAGAAGGATACAACCTGAAGGATGAGGAGGGCCGCATCAAGGACATCTCCACTGTCACCTCCCTGCAGGCAATTACCCGGTTTTGCAAAGTACTTCTACTGTACAAGTGCTCAGCTATTCCCAGTTACAATGGGTTGTTATGTAGGTCAGTGGTACACATGTGTTCCCATGAGTAGAAATGGGTCAGTGGCACAAAGGTACTTCGTGTGTGTGTTTACAGCTGCAGCAGCATCTGCTAAGGGCAAAGATTAGCAGTATTGTGTTTTTCTCTTCCGGCTTTGAATGGACTACATTAGAGAGTATGCAAACAATCCTGGTACAGTCACTTAGTTTATAAAGGAAACAATGGCTGCTGGCGATACAAAGAAAGGTGTAGCACCAAACTAGACACAAATAATTTACTGGATAAATGCATCTTGTCAGTTATACACACACGTTGGGATACCTTTGACATTCATACTATTTATTCATTAATTCAATATTTTATTGTTATACACATGTTATTTCGTTTTTTTTTTTTTTTATGATTTTTATTGCTCAACATACAGAAAAGATACAGGCAGAATACAATACATTATGTTACAACCCTAAACTTGGCTTTGAGAAGGGGGAAGGAAAAGTAACAAAAACAAACAGATGTAATTGGCAAAGTAAATGGCCTTTTATTCTTGGGCAGAAAAGGTAACAAAGGTATCGAACAAAACTTAGAGTCAAAAGGAAAACCAAAGTCTTCTATCTATTGGTACTAAATCATGGTTCTTTTTCTCGTACGGTCTCATAAGGTCTCTCAAGGTCTCAATGGGCTATATGCACGGAGAGGCGTGACGTCATTTCCTGTTAACGCAGATCAGCCCGTTCACTTCCTGCCTATTCTATCCTATGGCTTTTAGGCGAGTTTTAGTGACGTTTTTTAGTAATTAGATTGATACATTCAGCTGTGAGACTGACCCAAAAGTGTCACGTGCTTTCTCTCTGAGGTAGAGCTTTGACTGTGGCCACTCAGAGAGATTTTTAAACTTTATAAAAACACAATGACAGCACAATCAAAGAGCACTCCTGTGTCCCAAAAATGCCCAGTATCCTCACAGTTTAATTCCCGTTTGAGCATTATTTGGGAAACTCGTGTAAACCACTGCCGAACTCCAGTGAAACTCAAGCCGTTTCCAGCGAACAGGAAGTGAGGTGGGGCTTTAGCTAAAACACGGAAGTGGTGCGTGCATAGAGCCCTCTCCAAACGGTCTAACAGTTACCTGGGGCCGACATTACAGAATACAATCTTCAGAATCCTAGGTGCTATATTAATAAAAAATTACTTACTTGCTTACCAACAAAACGTGATATTTAAATATAACAAATAACATTTAGGTGTCTAAACAACATCTATAACCATAATAATATCAACAATATATGAATAGTAAAACTTATATTTTGGTCAACTCTTTCCAGATTTGACCTTTACCTAATCATCTCTACTTAATAACATAGCAATCATTTTCCTTTTTTCACATGTACATGAATAGAGAAATAGAAGTCTCACTTACTTCTTGAAATATTACTGATGAGTGACTTGATGTACTGACAGGACCCGCCCTCTTTTTTTGTTGTCCAAGTTGAATGTGCAGGACGTGTCTCTAAATCTCCTGCCTGTGCCTCATTCATCAGTCAGGGGGTACGACGCCCCAGCAGAAAAAGAGGTCTGGAGCCCTCATGAAATCAATACTACTGTTATCACTAAAAGTCCGACCAGATTTATTAGGCACCCCACAACTTTGCTGGTCTGATTATAGGAGATGGGTGATATGAGGTTCAGGTGATATTTCCCATAATATTATTTATCGGCATCAGTCCTATGTTGCTTACTCAGAAAGAGAAAGCAGCTGAGTCAGCCGCAGCGAGGGGATCACGGCCCATATTAAGAGCATCCGGTCACACTAGAGGCGACAAAAAGTCAATATTAGAGCTATTATTGATACATTGTGTTAGAAAGATTTACGGACGCTAACTGGAAATGACGCTGAAAGTTTCTGTGGCATAGAACAAGAGACTCATTTGGTGCATTGTTATTCTACCATTCGCCCCCTGCTGGTGGCTACACATGTGTTTACTGGTGGAGCTGAAGTTGGCTTGATGATACTGTGAACTTGTATGTGATCGTATTGCAAATATTGGTATTGGCCAGAGCTGCAAATTTCAGATATCAGCCGAAACAAACCCACAGTTCATCCCTACTGACTTGTTCCCCTGTTGCCGTGCACAGGTGCCCGTGCTGAAGCCCATGGACCTGATGGTGGAGGTGAGCCCACGGAGGGTCTTTGCCAACGCACACACGTACCACGTCAACTCCATCTCCGTCAACTCCGACTACGAGACCTACATGTCCGCCGACGACCTGCGCATCAACCTGTGGAACCTGGACATCACTGACCGCAGCTTCAGTATCCTTTCATGACGAAGTGTACCTATTGTTCCGGAACGGTTCCAGGTTTTTTGCCTTGTGTTAAATCTCCCAATCAGAGTAGGGGGGGAAATATGTTTAGGCCAATGATAGAGGGATAAATAAGTTACAACTTTAGCTAAAAACTTTGCAAATTATATCTCATAATGAACACTATATGTTAACATATTAAATAAGATAAACATGTACATATCTTGGATCATAAGGTCAAGTTATACTTTAGTGTCCTCTGCATTTGACCCATCCTCTATTTCCACTTGGGCTTCTGTCAGGAGCAGTGGGGGCTATACCACAGCGCCTGGAACCCATCTCCCCAGATGTTGATGCTCTTGGTCAGGACCAAAGGACTGGGATTCAAACCAAGTACCTCAAACCACTCAGCCACTGTGCCGCCCAATGTATTATTTGTTTAGCTAACAGGAGAGCAGTTGTGGTGATAACGCAGCTACATCCATAGAAGTTCAAGATGAATGTTTTATTGCATTCATTGACGTTATTTTTTAACGATTGCTGGGTTTCAGATGCCCCAACATCCTGAAAGCCTATAGTCTTCCATAAAGATGTGTAGCAAATACAGTATAATCAACAAAGGTATAGTGGGTGCAAAAGTGTTAATACTGTAGAACGTGAGCAGTATTGTTGTTATGCATATCGGATTTTTACTGAAAGACCACGAGAAAGTAACAGGAACTGTGAACTGAAAGCAAATTGCCAATTAATTTTATTTACATAATCAAAAACTTAAAAGAGGGGTTTACAGAAGTGATTATACTACATTAAATACATAGCCTTTGGAAATGTCTGAATAAATATTGCTGAATGCCCACTTCTTGCCCTCACAGTAAAATAGAGTCCACCAACCTCGAACACTACAGTAGTCAAATAAATACATCTTTGAAAGCCCATGCATCCTATTTGATTGATTTTGTGTGTTGAATTCACAGTGTTCACAACATGGAATCCAAAGCCAGCCCCAGACTTATATTATGCAGTGATAAATGCACATTATGTCGCCCTCCTACGCCGACACCAACAAACTCTACAAATGTAAATCCACTTTGTGGTCTGAAGAAATGCACAAGGACGCGCCGCCGCTGGGGGAGGGGGATATTATTCTTGAGGAGTGAAAGTCTAGCTTAATGAATTATTCAAAAGGGGCATAAATATTGCAGTTTTTGTTCAGAGTTTTAATCCAGCGCAGCAGGAGGAAACGCAGGAGTCGCAGCCATGACCCATGCAGGATTTATCATATTACAATTTATACGTCTGGATTACCCTTTCCACCACAACCCCCTCAAGATGCTTTTTATTGCTGTTTTGGGTATTTTATTGCTCTTTTTTTTTATGGTTATCAATCATTTACACAAAATACAATACATCTCATTACTATGCTACAGGTGAATGATTTAGACACTGTCAGTGAAGATATCGAGTATAATTTGGCTTGGAAAATATGCACAAAATGACTGAAGATGCAAGGACAACCAGATATAGAAATTCTTGATATATATTAGTTCCTAGTTGGACAATAGTATTAAAGCTACAGAGGCTTGCAGAAGTATGAATACAACTTGTGAAATTTTTTCTATGTTTACTTTATCATTACGGATTATTTTTCCTTGAAATACCAAAACAAACTAACAGCAACTGTGAAGTGAAGGTAAAATTAACACCTTAACCTGTTGAGCCACTCTACATAAAAAAAAATCTGTGGAAAAACCTGAAAACTAGTGTTCACAGACTCTCTCTATTTAATGTGACAGAGATTGAGTTGTTTTGTAGAGATGAATAGTCTCTAGATATGAAAAGCTTATAGAATCATATCTGATAAGACTTGTCATTGCAGCAAATAGGGGTTCCACAAGTATTAACTCAAACTGTAAGAATACTTAGAAAACCACTTTAAAACACGCCGAACAGAATTGTGTATCATTTTTATTTCACTTCACAGTTGTCTGTTACCTTGTTATGGTCTTTAAAAAAATACAATCTTACAGCAATGCTCAGAGTGTTAATGCAAGGTGGAAAGAAAGTACTGTGATGTCTTGTGCACAAACCTTAACCAAGTGTTCCTCAGATATCGTGGACATCAAACCTGCCAACATGGAGGACCTGACGGAGGTGATCACGGCCGCAGAGTTCCACCCACATCACTGTAACCTGTTCGTCTACAGCAGCAGCAAAGGCTCGCTGCGTCTGTGCGACATGAGAGAGGCCGCGCTCTGCGACAAGCACTCCAAATGTAAGGGTTTTATACACAAATATGCAACATTTGAAAGTGGTAAACGACAGCAGTAAATGTGGCTGATGGATTTTGTCAAACTGATAAAAGCCCAGTTTGTGTACTCTGATATACAGTACCTCTAGTAAACTCTGTGTTTTTGATTAGATTTGAGTGTAACAGACATACTCTACTGTATGTACTCTCTTTTAAGTTTTGTCAGGAACTTACAATGCATTAATACAATATACACATATTTTTACCTGGCATATGACATAGTTTGGGTTTTTACTATAATGTATAAAGTATTTTCTGTAAAAAAATAGATTTGAAATAGTTTCTTCAACTGGCCAAAATGTGCCAGTAATTTTTTCAGCGAGTGTTTCATCCATTCAACAGTAACTGGAGCTTGCTTTAGAAAAAAATAACCTCTCTGACTGTCACTTTAAAACAATATAAGTTTTTGGGAATCTCTATAGTGACCAACGTCATCTATGGTATGGATCTAGCAAACCACTTCCAAGAAGCTCGTCAAAGGATTTATTGTAAATAACACCAAATTTGTGGAAGTCCTTTGGGGAATTTTTAAACTGTTCTAATGTTCACGTCTACAACTAAAGTAAACTCAATTCGATTCTATTAAATGTATTTTTGTATAGCCCTAATTTGCAGCACCATTGTCTCAGAGGATTTCACAACAGACCAGAGAATCAAGTTCCAACACAGAAAGCATAATAATAAAAAACACATAGGAGCCATTGCTTCATAGGAGGTGGGATAACCAATGTCCCTTAATGTCCCGGATAATTACTGTCCTTAGACCCTCCAAACAGTTTGACTTACATGGACACTATATCGTTTAAGCTACGTATGTGCAATATCTGATGCTATCTCAGAATTTTATCAACTCAATTTCTTTAGTCTGAGTGGCTCTGCAGCACCTCATAACCCTTATTTCTCTGCAGTATTCGAGGAGCCAGAGGACCCCAGCGCTCGCTCGTTCTTCTCAGAAATCATTTCCTCTGTGTCAGATGTCAAATTCAGCCACAGTGGGCGATACCTGCTCACGAGGGACTACCTAACGGCCAAAGTCTGGGACCTCAACATGGAGAGCAAGCCCCTGGAGACGTACCAGGTTGGTGTTTCAAAGATGGAACAGGCTTTGGGCAAAACGTAATTGTTCTAGTTCAACGCCCCAGTCACACTCGACACAGTGGATGATGTAGTAGTTGCATTGTTCGCTGCTTCGCTCATTTACCTCTGAGTGATTCATCTGTCAGGCCGCTACCTTCAAATGAACAAAGCATCGTTCACTCAAGTGCCGTGAGTAGAATGGGTAAAGCACGTCTAGAGATTTAGCTTCATCAAAGAAATCCTTTTACTATATAGAAAGTGAAGGTAACAACTTAAATTCAATAGAGATTTATGCATCACTGTGCCCATATCACACGATGGCAACAATAAAAGTCTGTGTGTTTGTGTGTGTGTGTGTCTGCAAAACCACTTAAGGATAATTGAATTGACTGCATGCCAAAATGACTTGATCATTTTCCTGTAACCAACACCAGCTGGTTTGCAGAAGTTTGTTTCCGTACAGTGGATGTTTCAGTGAGTAATGCACTATTAGTTTAGAGATGTTGGGTTTTATTAGTCTAGCCACAGTGAACATGTGTTGACTCCCCAAAGTCTAAAGGCAGCCAGAAGTGGGAGGCCAAGATGCTCTCGAGCTATTTATAGTCCGCCGAGCTTCCACTCACAAAGAGGAGTGGGAAGAAGGGATACCTTGCTCAGTGCCCGACACCTAGATCTGCAATGCACCACAAAAAGAAAACCGGGCTTGACACAGTTCACAGACAATACCGCTTAGGAAATTGGGAATTGGAATACAGGCATTTTTTCTCAGATGTGCGTACACCAAAAAATTATAAAAAATGATACATTAAATAAATAGCAATACAGTTTGAAAAGAGGTTAGACAAAGCACACTTATTTGGTTTCAACCATAGATAGGAATGGACTAATTGGGTGCTGACCATGGTGTTTGCTGAAGGCGGAAAAAGGTTGATTAGAGTAATTTCAAACCAAGCCCCGGTTCTCCAAGATGTGTGCACATTCAAACAGCATGCTTGCACCATGGAAGTCCCAAACATAAGTTGAAGTGAGGCGTCAACATTGATGTTTATGAGAAAATCTCCCACACAGCCCATGTGAATTGAATCTGCAGTGTCACGGGTGGCCTCTTGTCCATGCTTTTAGCCGGGCTTCAGCTAGAAATACCCTACCCAGATGATACAGTACATCCATGGCTTGAACTCTGAAGAGCCTGATTAGCCAGTTATTCAGACTCATATTTGGATTTGCAAAAACAATATCACACTATAAACACCATGATTGAAGAAACCATGTTCTTTTTTTAAAGTCCAAAATGGTGAGTGTAACATATACAGTTACTGAGCTAGAGGAGTTTACTTTTCAATATGTAATTAGAAGCCGGAACGAGTTAGTGAAAAAATGTGTTTCTTCCGTATTGGGCTTCATTGAGCTTGCTGGTTAGCGTTGTCCATCTACAGTATACACAGTGAATGGTTCCAACCCCTATCTCACAAAGACACACACTCAGACAAGACCCAAACACTTTCTAACCCTAGACCTCTCCCCCATCACTTTTTCTGTGCTGAGGACAGTCTCTGATCTCTGATGGTATGGCCCAAAAAGAAAATTTGGGGAAAAAATCCAAATCTTGCGGTTTACATTTTACATACAGTACTTGAGGATTATGTTGAGATAAGACCTGACATGAAGAAAGTTTCACTTACATTTCAGCGCATGTGTGTGGAGATTAGTGTGATACAAGTCCCCAAACAGACATGTTTTGTAGTACACTCATGAATAAATTCTGCATCCACAGGTTACCAATTAAAACCATTGCAACTGTGATCTTTACAGGATCGCAATAAATCTTGCAACACTAGGGTATAGTTGCAGCATTTAGGAAGCGCATAATGAGTTACATTTACAGCTTATAAGACATTGTGCATTGTTAAAAAGCAACATAAAACCAGTGGCCTATGGGACACAGGCACACTAAATCTGAGGAAAGTGCAGACAGGAAAAAGGCCAACATATCATATAGTATGATCCTGCACCTGCCGCAAAAGGAGCCTCCGTGGGGGGGGACAAAAATGTCACTGTCATTGATGTAAAGCCATGAGCTGACCTTAGCTTGACCACTTATTGATTGAGAGTCTCTGCTTGAGTGCTGACTTTATGCAGAATGAGAAGCAGAGGACTAATGCAGGAAAAGGTGTTGGTTTCAGCCTTTTCCGTGTGGAAGCTCTGCTGACACAGGTCAAACACAGTCAGGGAACGCAGCACGTACTATGCCCTTGGTGGCCCGTATGAAAGGTTAGACCACAAGAAAAGATCCAGATTGCTTGTTAGCCCCCGTTGGGTCTTCAATTCACGACTTTAAAAATGGAAATAGTTCAGATTTGACTCAAAATTTGGCAATCTTTTCCATGTCTTTTCCCGTTTGGTTTAGTGATCATGTTACTTCCTGGTTGGACATCAGCAGATACCACCTTGGATGATGAAGTGACCATAGCAATCAAAATGTAAACAGCTGGTCAAAGCTAATCTTATTTATACAATTTACATGCTATGACCACTAGGAATATGAGGTTTCTTAAGTCAGATTATTAATTTTCTTGTATTTCAATTGACTTTGACATCACAGAACCCTACACTATTTCCTGTTTATATTGATATTTTTATATTTAACCTTTTGCCACCAACTGTGACTTATCTGGAGTAAAACAAAGATAAATATTTACCAGGAGTGTTGTAGACACAGTTTAAGGCAGATCTTAATGACCAGTACAAAACCCAACTTTCAAACCAACTATGTAATAAAATCCATACAACTATTTCCTTGCTTCTTTCACTAGTTCTACATACAAAGTAGAAAAAATGCATGTGCAAACGGAAAAAATATAGAACACAACACAGGGCTCTTTCTTAAAGCTATGCAAAAATAACATGTTTTTTTGATGAGGTAGGCCGCATGATGTGGTCTGATAAGATAAACTTTAATGATCTCACAATGGATATATTTACAAATCTGCATAGAACATTTTACATTTACAAAACAGAATAAGAATGAGAGGTACCCTGTCTTTTAGTCAGTGCTTCTTAATGCTATTTCTATATAAATGATCACTAATCTAATCAACAGTATGCATTTTGATCTTTTTTTTCTGTTTTCTAGGTTCACGATTACCTCCGAAGCAAGTTGTGCTCACTTTACGAGAATGACTGCATCTTCGACAAGTTTGAGTGCGCCTGGAATGGTACAGACAGGTAGGCCCATAATGTCATGTGATGTCACTTGTGAATGATGGTCCGTACTTCCTCGTATGTGCATCTGGAAACATCAGATGCCATGGTGGGCTGGCTCGCTGTGTTGTGTCCTTTGGCAAGGCACTTCACCCCCACATTGCATAGTGTGTGCATCAGAGACTGTATATTAGGAGTGGACTGACCGAGTGCTGATGTTACCCACAGTGTTTGCAGAATGTAGAAGATGCCGATTATTGATATTTGTTAGCTTGGGGACAATCTTCAAAAATGAGAATTTGTTCTGACAGGGTTAACTTTGCACAGAAACAGGGACAGATGTGTAGCAAATATGGTTGCTAAGGCAAGGTATAGGTTTCCCCAGCAAACTAAGGCATCTTTTCAAACGTGGCGGATATATGGATTTACCATATCACCACAGCACCAGGATCACAGAGAGCATCAAACACCTATGGTGCATGTGACACAAAGCTAACACCATCAGAACAAATGCCCATATAAGGAAATTGGCTTCTGCTATTATATTTTCAAATCAGCTTCTTCCGCTTTTGGCAAACACTGTGGGTGAGATCAGCACTCGGACAGTTCACTCCTACCATATATAGTCTAGGGGGCAGCACTAGACTCCGCCCATTTCTTCAAGGGAGTTCCATCTTAACTTGAAGATGTGAGGAAATGGGTGGTGTCTGTTGTGCTCCTGCTTGGTTGGAATGAAAACCCGCAGCCACACCGGCCCTTTCTGAAACTGGTCTATGGTCTGAATGAAGATACTTAAAGCCTAATTTAAGTACACAAGAACACAAGATAAGTTAATTTTAAGTATAGCACAACCCTTTTTTTATTTGTTAAGCATAGAATGGGGCTATGCTTAATATTAACTTATCTTGTGTTGTGTCCTAATTCCTACCATTATTCTCAACAATAATTTCCCAACTGCGGGATGAGTAGTAGTAGTTTAATCTCTTTATCTTAAATTCAATCTTAATTATTGAGATTGATATCAGCCATGAGAAATCTCCATCCGCAAACGTTGCAAAATTTTACATTATAACAATAACACTGCTATCTTACAATTGTCTGGTCTAGAGTAAAGCAAATCACTTTATCGACTTTATCTGTAATTTTTTTAGCGTGATCATGACAGGAGCCTACAACAACTTCTTCCGCATGTTCGATCGGAACACGAAGCGCGACGTAACTCTGGAGGCGTCCAGAGAGAGCAGCAAACCCAGAGCCGTTCTAAAACCGCGGAGAGTCTGCGCCGCCGGAGGGAAGAGGCGGAAGGACGACATCAGCGTGGACAGTTTGGACTTCACCAAAAAGATCCTGCACACCGCCTGGCACCCCAACGAGAACATCATCGCCATCGCTGCCACCAACAACCTGTACATATTTCAGGACAAACTGAACTCGGAGATGCACTGACGGGTCTTCGACGTCAACCGTGGGAACAAGTTTACAACACCATTTCTATGCCACTATGCGAAACATGCAGACGCCCAGGAATGTGCCTCAAGAGCCACCGTGGCGGGCAGGTCTGTCCTCCCCCATGTCCTCCCTCATATCCTCCCCCATGTCCTCCCTGAACAATCAGGCTAGAAAGGGAACGCACTGGATTATGCAATTGATTGTGGATTAGAGAACATTTATTGATTGTAAACCTCTGGATTTTCCTTATTGATTTTTTATTTATTTTGCGGCTACATCAGATGTTTTTCTTGATGGCGCTTCAAAGTGGGCAGAGATTCCTGTTTTGATTGTGCTAAAATATTCATTATTAAATGGCTCCACCAGCATGTGAAAGCCAGATCCCGACAGACCTCTGAAGCTAAGCAGGGCAGGGCTTGGTTTGTACTTTGAGGGGAGACCTCTGTGAACACCAGGAGTTGCATTGGTGTGGAAGAAGCTGATTTGAGCATAAGCTAGCTGGAGCACAGTTCATTGAATAGGAATTTGTTCCAACGGCGTTAGCTTTGCGCTGAAATGGGGCAGACGTGTTTCTATGATTGTTGCTAAGGCAAGTTGCAGTTTTCCAAGCAAATTAAGGAATCTAATTGGTCTATCTGTACATGGTTCATATCTGGATTTATGACATCAAAATATAAATTCCAGAACCATATGAGTACTAAATCATGGACAGAAACGATGACTGAGCTAGAGGAGTTTACTTTTCAATCCAAGTTAATATGAGCCAGAGTATAGAAGTACAGAAGCAAAACATTTCCCATAAGCACTTCCCTTTGGGCTTCATTGAGCTAGTGGTTAGCTCTGTTCGTCTGCAGACAATCTCCTTTGGGTATTTTGAATGGGGAAATGTATTTCCCGAACCTGGAAGCTCTGCCCACATTGCAGCTCTATTGAGCATACATGGTTTTTGGATGCACCCATGTTATGTTTTGCTTTTCAACATTGTTCTGTAAGATTCCGTTTTACCAGCAACTTGGATTACAAATGAAGGCATTTCTTTAATGTAAGTAGCCGCCAGATTTCTCACAGCGACATTATTTCATGTTTTGTATTGAATGATGTAAATGATGGTTAATATGAGGACCGTGATAATGTGTGAAACAATTCAGAACCCAGACTCTTTCAGTTTAAACCCAAGTGCATATAGATCCTGGAGTCTGTCCATGATTCAGGAGTAAAACGTACAGCTGAGGCGAGGTTGGAGAGTTCATTGATTTAACGTGACAGAAGCAGAGAGGACACAAACTGCTGCATCTCCCGCTTTAGCCAGTGTTCCACAGGCCTTTGTCTGCTGCCATGTCCTTTCTGCTCTGACTTCTGTACTGTTGACAATACTCAATCAAGCAAAAACAAATAACCTACATGTCAACAATCAAACATATGCTGCATGTTAAACAGATTTAGTATATTGCTGTTAATAATGGACTTACTTGGCTGCCTTCTAACCTATTTAGACCCAGCTGTACAAAGCTTCTTGGGCCTGGAGCCCCTTGCAGCACGATGGGCCCCCCTCAGTCTGACACAGACGCATGTTTACCCGTGTCGGATCACACTCTTGTACATTTGAATGATCAGTTTCTATTCTAAACTAAAAACCAATGAATACAGCGAATGTTTCTCATTAATGTTGTACGCTAAGATTAAAATAATGGGCTAAATTGTGTCTGTATGATATATGCCATTCGATTTTTAAATTTAATTTTTTAATACATGACCAAAACATCTTTGACTGTACCCTCCATCACTGATGATTGATTTTAGAGCTTCACATTGCCTCAGTGCAGAATGTTATTTTTAGACATTCCTTATTTTAATAATAGTCCAAACATCTGTCATTTTAAGTGTTACATATTTTTATTAATGAATGTTGACTTAATTGTCAAATTGGCAGTTATAAATAATGTTAATATGTTTTTTTCTGAATAAACATTTCAAAGAAAAATATCCCTGTTTCATTAAGTGTTCAATCCAGTTCGATACCAAGTGAGTAGACAAATTAAAATGTGACGCCGCCTGGTGGCAGCATGAGCACATTACATGTGCTAATTTTACACAATATTCTTTATATTGTTTAACCTTAAACAGATCCCACGAGATTCATGGGAATGAAATAAAACAAGATAAGTAGATTTAACGTGTTTATCATCAATCAAGTAGTGCCATAATAAACAAGCAAACATTTGAAAACTACTGTAGGCCACAGGTTTCAAGTGTTCAAAACTCACCTGCACAGCAGGGAACATTTCTCAAGAAAATATTTGACAGAATGGTTTTTCACACAAATGATAAAGTATTGCATTTTTGTGTATTCTAAAATTAATACAAATCTTTATTTATTTCAATATTTTTTTAACCACACAAAAAGATAAAACATTAAATGATGTGTAAAAGGCACTTCTACCATTTCTATTAACAGTGATGTAAGCTAATGCAAGAACAATATTACAACAATGTTTTGTTAAACAATTATAATAATAAATCCTCATTAACTTCTGTATGTAGAAAAAACACTGGCTTTGTATTGAAATGTCAAGTATTCTATAATTATTAATTACAGTTTGAAATATAGCAGGACAGTAAAGCACAATGTTTGGTGTTTTTGGGAACAGCAGCATGGCAGTCACATCTGTTTAACCCGTTTGAAGTTTATTTTTGCTAGAACTGCTCAGAGAACTTAAAGGTCTTGTTCTAGCAAAAACCTTTAAGAACCCGAGCTCTAAAAAGCCCCATAAAAAGACACAGACCTTAAGACTTCTTATTAGTGGCTGTTATCTAATCATATGCATCATCCTTGATCACAATGTCCGTCCCAGATTCTGGGTCTGGATGTTCTAACTGTGCTGTGAGGAAGGGGCTGAAGAAGAAGTCAAAACCAAACTGTAATGCATTTTGAACTGTGCGCCGCCAGTCGTGCTCAATTTTGTACTGTTTCCTCGCGGGCTGCCGGTCACCTCCACAGGACAGGCAATGAATAGCTTTTAGTTCAAACACAGGCCACTTGGAGCCTAAGCGTCCCTCTAGAATGGTACTAAACTCCACCAGACTTCCTCCTTTCAAATGTAGAAGCATAGATTTGAACTCATTACTTGCCCTCAGAACAATATCTTTAGTCGAGTCTTCGTCTTCTATGATTGTGCCGTTCTTAGTCTTTCTTTCTTGAGGCATGCCCAGCGTCACTTCAAACTTGTATCGGTCGAAGCGTTTGACGTGACATTCATTTTTAGCTAGTTTTTTAAGTCTACATAAAGGATTTTCTGTTACGGGGGCGTTAGCAGGATGGTGTCTGGTAGTTGAATCTTTGCTTTCGTCACATTTAGGATACGGTTCGCCATAGAGGCAACGCATCCAGTTCCCCACAATAACAGGCAGTAGATTTATAACTGACTGTGGTCCATTCTCGATATCAGTCACCCGAACGTATTTGAAGCGTCCATGCCATGTGACGCGGTGTCCTTCGAGATGCGAGCAGAGGATTTGAGTCTGAGCCATGTTTGACTCCTTCCAAGCTGGGGGACCACAAATATTGCTGTATTCTGGCCATGTCAGCGTGGAATTGTAAACTTTCATGCCATCTGATCGATAGACGTACATCCAACAGAAGAGCACCACAGCGCTGAGCCAAACCAAAATGAGTTTGACTATGCTGCTTCGAGACAACGAATGCAAGAGTTTGAGCGGATCCAGACTGAAACGCGTCCAAAGCCGCAAAACTACAGGCACAAAGCAGATGACAAGGGTCACCACCATTTTGGTCACCTCCAGGGCAAAGAACCACTGCCACAACTGGATGATGAGCATTGCAGCAAGGCCCAGTGTTAGAATGGGTAGGGAAAATAGGAACAGCAGGTAGCCAATGCAAGTACGGATAAGTCCAATCGCAGAGGCGTTATTTAAAAACACTAAGCACAGCTCGCACCAGATGAAACACACCAAGTATGGCACCAGGCAAAGATACATCCCTTTAAATCCCTTTGCTTGCGCCATGCGAAAAAGAAGATAGATAAGTTGTCCGTATAAGAGACAGGGCACTCCTATGTTCAACGCCAAGACTTCTCCAAAGGGCACCGAAAAGAAAGTCATGCTGACGAGTTTGATAATCCAGAAGGAGTCCGGCAGCAGGCGCGTGAGAGAGCAGACTCCGGAGAGCAGCTCTGTGAGAAGGGCCTTCCGGGCGAACATCTGGGCGGAGGCGTGGAGGCTGTGGAAGGCGGTGAAGGTGAAGAACAAGGCTACGGCGGACAGCTCTGAGCACGGGATCCAGGACTTGTCAGCAACCGGGAAGGAAAAGACCACGAAGACCACGGAGAGCAGGAAGTATCTAAAACATCAAATCAGGTCAAAATACTTGGTCAATATACCACATTTCAAATCTATAAGTAGAGATTCACACATGTTTATCTTTTTGAAAGGTCTGCCATCTGCCCTAAATTCTTCCCATTTTGCCGACATGCTACCATGTTGTACCTATTTTTTTAAAGGTCATTTTCTCAGGAATTGAAATCCTCATTAAATAACTAGTAATTAGTAATAGTTAAACATAAAAGAACATTCTCATCAATTAGATAAATTAGATATTAAAAGTTTATGTATGTTCGATTCCACCTAAATATGGGGCCTTTCTGCGTGGAGTTGCACATTCTCCCCATGCCTACATAAGTTTATTTTTCCCCCAACACAAAGAAAATGTACAATAAGTCGAAATGTAGAGAATACATGTTTTCAAAACCTTAAAGAATGTTTTGCAAACCCAATGTTTTTTTGCAGCCTTCAAAAAATAAACGTAAAATTGGCTAGTTAAATTTGGCATTGGTCTAAAAAAAAAAAACTCTGTCAATCCCTAATATATGCATAGTTTTTGTTGTTTAAACAATAGATGTTTACTTACAAGTAAGGCTCCAAATGTGTCCACCCAAAGTTGGTCTCAGCCTGGTCCAAGTCAAGACCAGGCTCAAAGTGTTTCAGCAGATCAGTCAACGCGCGATAATTCTCCCAGGCTTTTGAATTCTATGAAAAAAAACAACAAATATAAGTATCTTTAACTAAAGCGTTTAAAAGGCTTTGAATTCAGTTGATATGTACCTGGAATACTTTGAGTGTGCAGATAACCATGGAAAAGAATGAAAGATAAAAAACTAGCAGGGGAATACAAAATATAAAGAATTCTATGGTGAGGTTGGAGATGATAAAAAAGAAGATGAGTGCGTTGACGTGGTGCGTGGGGATCAGGGCGCTGAGCCACTGCATGCCGGCCCGGGACGCCCAGTCGATCAGGTGCTCTTTGATCTCCAACAGGGCGTGAAGGGGGAACTTTAGCATCTGGGTGAAGCACACAGGGATCAGAACAAACCAAAGTCAGAGAATCCACACAGGAGATCTCTGGAGACCTGCTACAAGCCTCTGAGCACCTTTTGAGGAAGAGGGAGTTCGTCCGGATTCTTCACGTGAACCCCATCGACGTCGTCCTCATCGTCGTCTCCAGCTGTAGCCATGAACCGAGATGGCGCCACCCCCTGAGCATACTTTTTAGTCATCTCAACAAAGTCGTCGAAACCCACATGGGAGCAGGCTGAATAAGAAAAATAAATTATACAAGATTAAAATAACCTTTTATTGGGAAAATGTAAGTGGTGTTGTGCACATTACAAAAAGGGGAATAATCATTACTGCTAAAACATTTGTATATACAGTGGTCCCTTCTGATCGCAGGAGTTATGTTCTAAAAATAACCTACAAAAAATGAAGCCCGCGAAGTATGTTTTAAGGTTGTAAAACCCCTCACCATACACTGCAAACACTTTACTAACCACCTGAAGACTCGACTGCTGAAGTGCGAGTGCAGATATATCAAAGCTGTTCGTTGTAGGTCTGAGTGCTGCTGCAGCTGTTAAAAGCTGTGCATACACTGTAAAATCCAGCTGCAGAGGACACAGCGCTCAGGGGCAGGAGCAGGACTAACGGCTTATTAAACGAGCGAGAGGTCTGTACAGAGAAATATCTGACCGCGGTCTTTTTGTACAGTGCAAAAAGACCAATTTATCTGAACAGACCAAGCAAGCAAGGTGAATACATGTTTTATGATATGGCTATTTTTATGGGTTTTTTGATCTATTTTGATCGGTTTCAACTAGCAAAAACACATGCAACCAAACTGTCAAATGGTGACATGAAGAACGTAAGTTCTCAATCTCTTCTGTGTCTTTACCAATGCTTTTTACATATTTGTGAAGTCATGTCCGGCTTGGTTTTCCTAATCCTGTTTTTACCTTTCTGGTCTTTAACGAAGTTGTCAATCTTTTCTTGACTGTTAGGAGTTGTGTTTTGTCATTATTTTCTGTTATTACTTCCCCTGGCTCTTTGAACTCGTCCGGATAGTAGAATTTACTGGGAGAATGCTCCCAGTCATCGCTCATTATTTCTTTTTTACCGAGGAAAGATATAAAATTTGATACGCGCTGCGGACCAATTGTCATGGTAACGGTCCGAGATGGGAAAATGTCAGCCAATCAGAGCGCGCGTACAATCCAAGTCATATAATAATGAGGGCTATAGGAAGACGGTGTTAGTCTTCTCATCCATCCATTTTCTTCCCCTTAATCCATTTCTGGGTTGGGGGGTGGCAGTCAGAGCTGCACCCAGTACAAATAGCACCAGCCCCTCACTGATCCTCCTGCAGGTGGTCCACAGGAGCCTTGATCTTCCAGGGGGGGCTTTTGGGCAAAGTGGGGTTAAGTGCCTTGCCCAAGGACACAACAACAGCTGTTATCAGTGAGAGTCGTGTAGTAGGTCGAGGTGAATTCGAACCTATGACCTTCAGGCCCAAAGGCCAATGCTCTACCAACTGAGCTACTGTCGCCCCACAGTCCTCTCATATAACCTCTATACTCGCGGTTATGTGATGGCTTTGATTGCTTTGTAACGACCGCAACAATGAACAAATGAATAATGTATCAATTTACTGTTTAAAAAGAAGAGTAGTGATCTGTTGTTATCTGCAATATTGGAAAAAGAACTTACCCTCGCTGCTGACCATCCTCTCCAGAACCCTTCTCTGCTGCTTCGTAGAACTGTTCAGTGGGCTCTGGGACACGTGTTGACCTGTAGATTGGCAGAAATTAGTAGAAATAAACTGGACCTCATCATAAAGAACAACTTTGTTTTGTAGTGTAGATTCTCTTTACCTGGCTCACTGTGGACATGCCCCACATTTTCAAGCATTTCAGAAACAGCCACTGATTTCTTTCTTTCTGGGTTGAGTTTCCAGTACATCTGCAGAGCTGCTTTTCTCACACCCCTTTCAAAACGTGACTCTGTGCTCAGCTTCTTCACCTCTTCATAGTTCTCCAGTGTGATGCCTGCGGGACAAATGTTTACTACGGATAGTCGAGCGAATATATCATTATGCAACAATTTATTTGTGGAAAAAAGGTTTAGAATGTTTGCGTTTTTGACCTTGTAGTCACCCAGGATTATATGCACAGGATTAATTGTTTTGCTGGTTTTCTGGTGAGAGGGCCCCAAAGCAGAGAACCTTCCAAAAACTGTGTCCTACAGAGACAGACCACTGAGTTGGAAACCCTGCTGACCACTCATGCAGCCACTGGGTCACAAAAGAAACTAACAAATATGCAAGTTTTTTCACATAGGCAAGGTTAGGCAAGCTTATTTATAATAACACAGTTGAGAGCCAAGGCAACTTTTAGTGCGTAATGAGACGCAAAAATAATCACCGTACATCAAAGAGAGATTGAAGCCAAAGATACAATCCATCAGTTCTATGCACCGCTAACCAGAACTAGTTTTAACCTGGATTTGAACATTGTCAGAGTAGAAGCCTGTCTCACATTTTCAGACAGACCGTTCCAGATTTTAGTTGCATGAATCTGAAATGCTGCCTCCCAATATTAAGTCCTGACTCTGTTCACCAGCAGGAGGTGCATATGGCACTAACAAATCACAGATGTACTTTGGTGCGAGGCCATGGAGAGACTTATACACAAGCAGAGCTGTTTTCAAGTATGTTCTCTGAGCCAAAAAAGTAGCATAATACCCCATTTAATTCTACTAAACGTGCATTGTTTGAGACATTTACCTTTCATCGCAGCCAAACACTGCTGTAGTAGTTTGACAGCATCCTTGCGCCCCTGTTTGGCTGCCTGAATCAGCCAAGTCACTGCCGTACAGTTATTGAGCTCCTCGTCTCTCTCCTCTCCCAGGGCCAGGAAGTATCGGCCCATCTGGACACCAACACATAACACAATTAGCATTCAGGACAAGCATTAGTATGACTAGGGTGACTTATGAGCTCCTAAGAATAGCTCACCATATGGTACATTATGTAAAAATAATACTAACCTTCATCTGGGCTTTGGCATCTCCTGACTTTGCTCTCTCCTCCAACACCTCAAAACTAAATTCTTCTTCTTGGTCTCCTGAGGAAAAGAAACAGATATTTGCAAACATACTACTAATGTAGTACACTTACAATACCTGTATTTTTAGTGATCAAATATAGCCGCAAAACCAGTTATAACCAGTCCTAGTTACCATATTTCACTATTAGGCGCACATTGTCTTTATTTTTAACAGTGTGCCCTACTGATTTCTGACAATGTTTAACTGATAGAACTTAACAATTTTGATAGTCATTCAAGTGTAGAGTTTATCAAACAATTGCCTAGGTTCAATAACCCGGCCCCCGTCATCTGCACCTGCAAACTCTGGTCTGCTCGACCCGCCTTGCACCCCCTCCCCGCCTGGGAGCTGCAACAGTCCTGCACCGCAACTGTCCTTGATTTACAACCGCCGCGTGGCCTTGGTCCTCGTTCTGTCGCTTAGGTCCGTCCGTGTGGAGCGAATCCCTCTCTCAATGTGGATCTCCCCGAGGTTTCTCACTTTTCTCCCACTGGGTTTTACAGTTTTTCCTTGCCGATGCAGGTGGGTCTGTTGGACAGTTAGTGGTCTAACAAGGACTGTGGTGATGATCCGCTCTACATTCTACAACATGTATGGCCATTTATCAACATTCATGGACATAGGTCTCTCCCTATGGACCAATACCTACAACATGTGTTCTATATTTTTTGTGTTTTAACTGTTTAATTCTCTGATCTGTGTTGGCGATTTCAATGGTTTTGTTAAGTCCTCTGAGATGACTTCTGTTATGATTTAGGACTATACAAGAATAAATGTAATTGAATGGAATGGAATTTAAATGTTTTGTTGATGGGTACAGCTGATGTACCTGAAAAATGATTACAGTGATTGTGCTTATTGAGGGAATACCTGTAAAAAAAAAAAAAAAAAGTATAATTTGATTTACCGGACTATCTGATTGTTTTGTTTCGCTTCAAAATTTAGGGTCAAAAATGACAGGGAAAATGGCATTTGTACTGCATCATGCCTTTGTTTACAGGTAAACGCCTTATATCGAAATCATAAACAAGATCATTGATAATGTGCCTTATAATCAGCAGCGCCTAATGGTGCAAAGAACTCCATCTGTTAAACTCAAAATTCTAAGTTGACCAAATTTAAGGATTCGACGGGATTAGGAGTAGTCCTATTATATACAACAATATAGACTAATATATCAATATATCAGTATATTCTTCTTACTAGTTAAATTATTCTAGTCCAACAACTGGTTCAGCTCGACTAAGCACAAACATTTATTTGGCCACTGAGCAACACTCAACAGCACTTATATTGTAAAACTTTCGTAATTACACAATACACAAACTTACTGCACATGTGGCTAAAGTACTGTCAAAAGGGCACCTAATTTGGAAAATATCACATCAAATGTCAGCATCTGTTATTTTGGAGATCCAGCCCATAGTCTCCAGCACTTTATCTGCTGTTATCACACCCAGTCTACTGTATACAAAAGGGGCTATCTTTTTTGTGTATTTGTTTTCATGTTTGTTATATAAATTTGTACTTCAGACATTTTATCTATGTATTTTGTATTATTCAAAATGTTGACTTCCAATTGTCAGTGTCGGCAATGAAAACAAATCGATCGACCCTGAGAAGAGACATCTAGTTTTAGTAAGAGGACCACTTTAGTTAACAAGACTTGTCCAGGGGAGGACAACATGGATTGTTTTGACTGGATTCAGACATGTGTCTATGGTGTCTGATTGGTCCATCCTTATATGCAAATACAATGTCAATTTTGTTTGTGTTGCTAAATTTATCAGCCCAAAATGATGAGTGTGACAAACGGTAACTGAGCTAAAGGGGTATACTTTTAAATGCAAGTCAATAGGAGCCAGAGAGAGATGGGAGAGGCAACAAGAATTTACATGACGTTTGAATGTGTAGAGTTCCCAAAGAGCAAGAAACAAACAAAACCGTGAAGACTCTTTTGCACTTACACGGAATACACAGACAAATAAAATATTTTAACAACATTTACCTGGCGGTGGCGCGCTTGGAGAGGCCGCATTGAGCTGAGACCTTCCCCCAATAGAGGCTCTCCTGATGGGATGACGGAGAGGGGAGTCGGGCGGGGTGGAGAGGGAGGACGAACGTGAAAGCTGTCCCACAGGTAAGTGTGGCAAGGCAGAGGAGGTGGTGGGCGTCGCAGGGGGGGTCGGCATATTGACTCTGGGTCTGGTCTGATTTGAGGTAGCAGTTGAGGTGGACAGTGATACGCCTGATCTGAGAGCAGGGCCACTCGGGACTCCAGTTAGTGATGGATCCATGACTGAAACAAAAAAAGAGGCATGCACATTGGTTGCCTTTTTTTCTATAATACATTTTTTTCTAACGGTGGTATTTAAGGCTGGGCAACATAACTTTTAAAACACAACAATAACTATGTAATAATATCCAGTCCCCTAGCGCTAAAAATGCTATTAAAACCAGTTTTATATTTCTGGTCTCTGCCACATCAGCTTTTTACAACATACAAGTGAGAAAGAGCGGACCACCCTCACTCAGCTCCCAGCTCAAAATGTCAAATAACTCACACAGGGATCTTTCTTGCAAGTACGCAAAAAAAGACAAATTCACAATATTTTACTTGTACAAGACAATTCCATTGGGTCAACAAAACGTATTATTAATGAAAAAAATAAAAGTTAAGTACCCCTCCTTTGAGCTCATTCTAGTGGTGAACGATTTGCATAATTCCAACCATTTCTTTTTAAACTTTTTGAAAAATCTCCATCTAAAGCTAATAACATTAAAGCAGTGCAGAATTTCTGAATTGTTTGATCAATAACTCGACCCAGAAGATCTTCTTTCGTGTGGTGATGCTCGATAAGCCCATTTTAAGTACGGTTAGACAGATCGTGTAAATGGTTTCCTGTGAAACTTTCCAACAGCATGTATATATCATGACCTACATGTCAGAACAACGTTTGAAAGCAAATGCATGGCTAAAACTCTATATTATGGGAAATGACACGGATTAAATTATAACGTAGCAGGATAATCAATGTCACCATTTTAAATTAGTAGACAAATGGTTAAGAATTGTTAGCAGAAATAGGCAATATATAAATCAGAGCTTAACTTTCATGTAATGCAAAACCTCTAACTAGTTCAAAACTTATTGTTGGTCTCTATCACATCTTTAGACAGAAACATTAAAAACAGAGAACAACTTTGGCGTAACATAGTGACTCAGGGGGCTTTTTCTTACAAGTACACAAAAGATAACAGTTTTTTTTCTGATAAAGACAGCATGTTGAGGTCTGATTTGACTTTTTATGTTGGAACAAACATGCAGTATACATTATTAAATAACAAGTTAGGTACTCTACTTTAAGCACACAAATATCCATTACAAAAGAAAAAGCAAACATCTCAAATTATATTCTTCCATCTGCAATTGAATATTTAATTTTGCCACAGGCTATGATTATTTGACCTTATGTTTATTTTTGCTAAAATACAGTTTCAGGCGTTGTACTTCATATCAATCATGGGAGCTGTGGAAAGGTCTAGCTATATCCAGACAATGTCATCCTTCACATGTGTCCAGTTTCACAATGGGGAACCCCCGTCAGGACTGAGATGACCACAATTAGTAGCCCTGAGAGTTGATTATTGTCATCCCAAAAGTACATGATCTGTTATAAACTACTGCTGCAAGTCAACAATACTGATCCATAAATTAGCTACATTGTAATCCAAGTTAGCGCTGATGATGATACACTGACCTTACTGTAGCGTAGCTCTGATCTCGAAGGAGGCAGCGACACACTTCACGTTATAATGAATTTTGTAGTCTTTCGTGTCATGTTATTCTTTAGTTTTAGCAGCAGTGGTTTGTGTGCTGTGGTGGATCAGCCCTGTGTGGTCAAACTCCAAACCATAGACTGTAAATAAAAAAAACAGGACATGACGTGTGGCTGATTCCTACCAACACGCCCACTCCCGAGTCTGAATCCTTCCTATCCCTTTCCTTCTCTTTCCTTCTATTCCCTTTTTTTTTTTTTTTTTTTTGGACTAAGTGCAAAAACATTTAAGGTCAGGTTAACTTAAATTTCTCTTGACCAAACTTGGAAGAACCGTATCTCATAAAAGGGACATTTTAAAATACCAGGAATAATAAAGAAGGGTGTGTTGTTTGATGTAAAATTGGATGTAGTCCAAACTGGTTCCGCACGATTTTCTAAGACTGCAGCCAAATTCATAAAACATACCTCCTTTCTTATCCTTCTTTGTCCTGACTGGCATTACATAACTATATTTTTCTTGAATGACTTGATAAAGTCTTAAAGTGGGCGGCTATTTTTGTTGAATATACCTTCAACTGCTCTATCCCTTAAAAATGACCTTAAAGAACAAGGTAGGAAAATGAAGGAGGTGTATGTGAATTTGGATGTTGCCTGAACACTATGTCAGACAAGAACAATCGTTTTTGGCCAAACGCGGTGTTGTTGATTTTCAGTTAGACCTGGTTAGACCGTGTATTCACACCAAAAAGCAGAAAAATGCTTTTTCTTTAACCATGATGCGTATTTATGATACAATTTTACTTTCAGTAACATTACGAAAATAATAGAAAGGTTTCTAAATCGGCTATAGATTTGCTTTCCTGAGAGAAGAAAAAAAGTAATATCACTACGACGCCACACGAGGGCAGACCGGACCAGATTTGCAGATTTTTTTCTGGTAGACGTTACAACAACAAAACAATATATATATATATATATATATATATATATATATATATATATACTCCAGCGAGTAAGGCAGGTCCTAAGAAGCCGGCTCAATGGCAAGAACAAGGCCCGGGCAATTAACAGCTACGCCCTGCCAGTGATCAGATACCCTGCAGGAATAATCAGGTGGCCAAAGGAAGAGATTCAGACCACGGATGTTAAAACTCGAAAGCTCCTTACCATGCATGGCGGGTTCCATCCCAAATCCAGCACCCTGAGACTGTACGTAAGCCGTAAAGAAGGAGGCCGAGGACTAGTGAGTGTGAGAGCCACTGTCCAGGACGAAACATCCAAACTCCATAACTACATCATGGAGAAGGCCAAAACGGATGACGTACTCAGTGAATGTCTCAGGCAGTGGCGAGATGAGGAGGTGCTGGAGGAGAGCCCATCATGGGAGAACAAGCCCCTACACGGCATGTACCACCGGAGCATAACAGAAGTGGCTGATCTCAAGAAGTCCTACCAATGGCTAGAAAGGGCTGGCCTACAGGACAGCACAGAGGCACTCATCATGGCTGCACAGGAGCAGGCCCTGAGCACCAGAGGGATAGAGGCCCAGATATACCACACCAGACAAGACCCAAGGTGTCGGTTGTGCAAAGAGGCACCTGAGACGATCCAACACATAACTGCAGGGTGCAAGATGCTGGCAGGGAAGGCCTACATGGAACGCCATAACCAAGTGGCTGGCATAGTGTACAGAAACATCTGTGGAGAGTATGGGCTGGAAACTCCAAGGTCTAAGTGGGAAACTCCTCCAAAGGTGGTGGAGAATGAGCGTGCGAAGATCCTGTGGGGCTTCCAGATACAGACCGACCGAATGGTAATGGCAAACCAACCTGACATCGTGGTGGTAGACAAAGGGCAGAGGACAGCCGTGGTGGTGGACGTGGCAATTCCAAGCGATGGTAACATCCGGAAAAAAGAACATGAAAAGCTTGAGAAATACCAAGGTCTCAGAGAGGAGCTGGAGAGGGCCTGGAGGGTAAAGGTGACAGTAGTGCCCGTGGTGATCGGTGCACTCGGGGCAGTGACCCCGAAGCTAGATGAGTGGTTACAGCGGATCCCCGGAACAACCTCGGACATCTCGGTCCAGAAATGTGCAGTGCTAGGAACAGCAAAGATACTGCGCAGAACCCTCAAGCTCCCTGGCCTCTGGTAGAGGACCCGAGCTTAGAGAGGGATAACCGCCCGCGGAGGGCCAAAGGTGAGTATATATATATATATATATATATATATACCATACTTTCCTTTGGCATAACTAGTAGGCTTTTATCAGCATTATACAATATATATATATATATTTTTTTAAACATACTATTACTATTAACATGAAAGGCAAGAACAATAAGACTGATTGTATAATGCTGATAAAAGCCTACTAGTTATGCCAAAGGAAAGTATGGTCACACAACTTATTCTAAATTATTGTTAATATTGTTATTATTCATTTTTTCAAGAATCATGTATCTATTTATTTGTTTGGTATGTTACACTGAAGAATGGCGGCCAGAAGGAGGAGGTAAAATCATTACAAAGATAACATCTGGTTTGGAAGATTAAAGTTCAAGTGTATAGGACAGGGTATCAAGGGGAAGGAAGGAATGGGGGCAGTAATTGCTTAAGTGCAGCTGCTTGAAGAAGTTATGCAAATGGTTCTAGATTAGTAGATTAACACAATCCAGTTGAGAGGATAAGCACATTTCTCATACTCCCAATCTTTACAACAACTAGACACTCATGACTGCTAATGCAATTTACAGTTGAATTCGACAAAATAACTCAAGGTGAACTGCAAGGTTTTTTTTAGGACAAATATTTATTATGCCCAATCTGACAAATAATATGATTCCAGAGCAACTAAATCCTGGAATGAAGATAGGATTTTGTTTCAACTCACTAGAATGATCTTTGTAAGCTGATGAAGCCGTACAGCTTGGAAACAGCTAGTTTCACAAACACATTTAGGCTATTAAGCCAGTCATTAGTAATGTATTGATCTGCCATGTTTGTGGGATGTACGAGTCCAGGACTGCACTCAATTATGAGGAAAAGACTGAATTTGATTGTTGCATTGTAAACTAAATCTGTCAGTGTGTTTTATCTCATATAGATGCACAATAAGGCAACCTAACCTAACCTTCGAAAACATTCAGACAGTATAGCTATAAATAAAAAGGGAAAATATGTATTCCCTAAAGCCACAATTATGCATTGGTTAAAAAGTGTGATTCATGTTTGCCTTTTTGTGTCATTTTTATGTTTCAGAACATTTGGGCATTTTGGTTATACTAAGCCACTGTTAGAACATTACCACATGGATATTTGACGTAATCGTAGCTAACTAGGACTATCTCAGTGGAAAATTGTACTGTTTGGTTGAAATGCTGCTTTAGAAGTGGACAAAAGGTGTGTTATGTCTGTGTGGTGCATGGGCTGATCTCCTGACTGCTGTGCTCTCACTGCTGCTGGGGCAATGACGTATTTATCTGAACTTGCAGGTGATGGTTTGTTATGGTCATGCAGAGTCCTGGGAAACAATTATGCAAGAAGTATATAATAGTGTGTTCACTTGTTGGATACACATTCTGGTGGGCTTTGTGAACAACATATGTTGAGCTTGTATGTGTGAGGACAGAGTGAGATATCTGAACTATAGTAGATATGTGGACAATACTAGTGCTGAGGGAAGATAAGGACAGTTTCCAGTCTCCCTCTTGTGTCATGCCTTACCTCCAGCCTGCAGCACTGGGCTGCATGCATTATCCATGTAACCTACAAAGGCTGAATGGCAGGCGGGCACAGAGACAAACAGACAGGCATCTGTGCGTAAGTAATGCTTCCACTAGAATGTGGGTCACATACACTCACCGATTTCACAGAGTCAGGATTTCCACTTTCGCTTTAATTAACAACTCGCTCTTTCTCACCATGACAGTCCAGATGACATCAGCACACACTGCACAGTGATAATGTTGGTTGTATTTGTCAGTTATGCGAACAGAAACATAATTCAACATCCAACCCATGCCCACATACAATCTCCTACAGCGTCATGTTTGTAGTATGTGTTTGTGTTATTAGCCTGATCGCTCACATTTCCTGCGTGCTGACGCGCGGCGCGTGTACACGCGTTTTCCGTGCGCGGCGTCATCTTGTCCACGCAGTCAGAGTGTCGCGCTTTTTACGCTGCTGGCGACGCCCGCGGAGCATTTCCATTGACGCCGCGGCGCACAGCACAGTCACAAACCGGTTTGGTTTGACTGAAGCAGGGCTCATGTGCGGGTGGGCGGGAGCAGACATGTCAGCGCGCACTGAGCCTGGATCCAGAAGTCACTACTGGACTTGTTAACGCTCTTGGTCTCTGTGTCCGCGGCTCAACATACAATCCATCTCTTTTGAAAGTTTGTGAGCTGCTTCTGTTTGTTGCCAGTCGGTTTTGTTTGCATGAGAGTAGTTCCACCGAAGCGGCTTCTTCCTTTTCCTGGATGCGAGCGGATCATCAGTAGTTGGGCATTGATCGTCGAGGTAAGTGTTCTGGTCAGAATATATACAGAATATATACAGAATACTCAGATACTCGTGTGCTGCTGATGCATGTGCGAGCACAGGAGCGTGGGAGTGTGCTGCAGCCTCTGCATCATGCCAGGGCTGTTAGAACCTACAGCTGATTCTCAGCAAACAGTGAAGGGAGAGTGAGCGATGCTGCAGTGAGGATGAAGCATTGATGTCATCTGTGGACATATATAGACCTGAGCAGAGGAAGTCACGGTAATATAACCCGCCGTGAGATTACGTTCAACGCTGTCCATTTCATAGCTTTATCATCACTGCATCAGGCTTTGCCTTCAGCCTAAAGGAAGAACCAGGCCCTGAACAAGATTTACGTTGTCTGTAAATGCATTGGTGCACACCGCCAGAAAAGACATCTCAGCATTTTCAATGGGCTACAACAATCCCACTTCAGTAGTACTGATGCAAGCACAGGACCAGCTGCATGCTGCTTGTTGCTGTGGGGTGTGGTTGGCAAAGGGGCCAAAGATCTTCATCCTCACCCTATGGGCTCCTTCTGTCCATTTAAGTCATTTGAATCTGTCAGTTTTCATCATGGTATCACAACATTCATTACTGCCGCTTGTCCATGCCTCATATCTTTCAAGCTGCTTCAAACAGTCTCATCTGCTCTAGGGCCTTGTAAATACACTACTCCTCAGACAACCAACATGTGCAGCACAGGAAATTAATGTCCCCTTTTATAAGGCAGGCTACAGCCCAGTTTTACTGCTATTTTGTACTGCTAGGATATGTAACTATGATGGTAACTATGATAATTCACACTTGGACCTGAATGGTGCCTGCTGCATGTCCTGCTAATAGAACTGATTTCAATCACTAATCTCTCCCAATGAGTAAATTAAGCTGCTTTAAGAATAAGCACCAGTTGGAACTAATGGTCTGTGATGTTATGCAGACACAATCCTCACAAATATTTTTTGAGACAATAGTGAGAAATATGGTTGGCATGCAAAGCTTAAAACACAAAACTTGCACCAGACTTTAAATGACAGCTTTGACCCCAAACATGATGCATTTTTCTCCCAGTAATATTGGACTAAATCAGGACCAAACCAGTTCCCAGACTGAAGACTCAGCTGCAAGCAACCAGCTGTTTTATTTAACACTTCACGTCTTATTGAGGTCATGTCTGTCAGTCATAGTAATGTTCAGGTATTTCTGTAGTGTATTTGGTCTGTGTTGCACAGCCTCCCAGGGAAGTTTACACAGACTGGACTGTTATCACTGTGTTTGGGTCTCAACTGTGACCAGACCAGTTCTGACAGTCCACATGCTCCCATGACAAGGTGTGCTATCTCAATCATAATACTACTCACAGAACATTGTGCTAACTAGACACTGAGCCACTGTTGCTCCACGCCCTGGTTGTTGATTTTTAACCTGGGTGGCTACTTTTATATTTTATGAGGCTTCAGCTCGCTCCAAAGTCTGGTTAATGTTTGACGTTGAGAGAGAATGTGTGTGTGGTCTCCTGAGCTTTTGAGAACAACTGTTTGGAGTTGGTTAAAGGCTGAGAACACTCCACATCTGTTAAGTAAAGCTAATTAACATCTGCTGTCATTGAGTTGGCGCCATGGTGGGGAAGTAGTTGGCACTTCAATAAGGTCCTGGGTTCGATTCCACCTCCAGTCAGACCTATTTGTGTAGACTTTGCATGACTGTGGGACAAAAATCCGGAGGAGTGTGTTCATTAGAGAATACATTAAAACTTTTTTACTTTGATAATTTTTTATAGAGATTGGGCTGAAAAACCTGCACTGCTATTGCCACTTTTTATTGTTCATAATGTATCCTGAACAGACTGTATTTTTTTCCTTTAATAGGTTGCACACTTGATTCTATCTATGCCAAATGTGACATGTAAATGAATCCTGTGTGTGATCAAACATGGCTATCTTACCTTCTCTTTAACAAAGTGTATGATTGCATGTATAGGAATTCAAAAGAACTCAACATAATTAGGAATACAGTAAAAACATCAAATACATGTAATACGTCGTCTAGCTGCTGTTTAAAGTTAAGTTATAATTTGTTGTTTCCATTGGGAAATTTGTCCTCTGCATTTGACCCATCCTGCAATGCCTTTAGCGCCTCTGTCAGGAGCAGTGGTCACTGTAGTCAACAGCTCAGGGAGATGTTGATGCTCTTGATCAAGACCAGAGTTGGAGGATTTTACCTATTGTACCTGTTTTTAGGGGTAGAGGAAACCGGGGCACCTGGAAGAAACCTTCCACTCAGAGCATGTACATTTCCTTGGTAATTTGGTAGTGCCTAAGTTGGTAGAGCATTGGCCTGAAGGTCGTGGGTTCAAGCCCACCACAAGCCCTTCTCCACCGACTCTCACTCATGTCTGCTGTCGTTGTGTGTCCTTGGGCAAGACACTTAACCCCACTTTGGGGTTAAGTGGCATCTCTGGCCACCCCCCCAACCCAGAAATGGATTAAGCGGAAGAAAATGGATGGATGGATGGTTTATGCAGATTTTTCATGTTTTTGAGACCTTATGAACAACATACATAAAATCTCTCTTCTGTTTAATTGTTCTATGAGGCAGGGCTGCTCCATATTGGAAATGAAAGCAATATGTGATTTCAGTCCCCTAAAAAATAAATGTACACAAACCAAGTAAGCTATTGCATAGTTATTTCTTCTAGTTCTAGTTTTTTCTTACTTCTGTGACACGTCGTCAAACAGGCCAAAGTTCTCCCACACTTTAGATGGACAGTGTCATTTTGGTGAAAGCTTTCTGCTCTCATTCAGTCTGGACTGGTCAAAGGAGGACGAATATAACAATTACAGCTAAAACTTGGTTTTAAGATTGCACTTTGATTTATATATTGTTTGATATATTGCACAGCGCTATGATGGACTCACCTACTGCCGTATGCTGGTGCATATTATTGTTGGTTGTTATTGTATTCTTAATTACGCTAAAGAGTATATTTCGAACTGCCTTCTGAATAATATTGTGTTGAAGCACTCCCTCACTCTAAAGGGACGAATACATAAAGTAGAGCTCTGTCACACGCAATTAGGAATCTGCTCCAGATTGATAATAATTATGACAGACACTCTGGTCATTACAACATATATTACACATTTTTGTGCTAATACAACAGTAAATCTTGTAGTAATCAATAGTAATACTAGGGAAATCAAATACTTGGGGCCCTGGACATACAACAGACCGTACATTAGGACTGATCGAGTAGTGACGTCACTCATAGTGTTTGCAGAATGCAGAAGAAGCCGATTTGAACATAAGCTAGCTGGAGCCAATTTCCATATATGGCTATTTGTTCTGAGGGCATTAGCTTCACGGCAAAATGGGAGCAGATGTGTTGCTAAGATGGTTGCTAAGGCAAGCTGGAGTTTTCCTTGTGAGTGAAGGCATCTGATTGGTCAATCCTTCTATGGCTTGTGCCTGGATTTACAAAGGCAATATCATAAACACCAGGGTCACGGAAAGCGCTAAACCACAGGATTTCTTTAAGCTAGAGGCGTTTACTTTTCAATAAAAGTCAATAGGAGCCAGAGCAAGTTGGAGCAAAACTTTGTCCATGAGCACTTCCCTATTGGGCTTCAGTGAGCTAGGAGGCTAGTATTGTCCTTATATATACAGTCTATGGGACATACAAGTCCTGAAACAAGAAATTCTTGCCTTTTTAATAAAATGGAGCAGGGAACATGGCTGAACACACACTCTGTGTATTTTCTAGATTGATTGATTTACAAAATATTATGTTCAGTTGTTATAGCCCTACAGTGGCCAGTAGACCATGTGGAGCTGGATTGGGCAAACGCGCGCGCACAACCTGCTTTTCCTACACCTCCTCCTGGAATTAAGTGACATACATAACCAATTCCAGTCACACTTGAGCGGTCAGCGGAAGATTGGATGGTAGGGGAAATGTAAAGTTACCCCGTAAACGGCTACCCAGACAAAATGATATATATTTGCAATTGCAATTTGTATTGGTCCACATCTTAAGATTTCACCATCGCAGATTGCCCTGACAGTTAAATGTTGTAGTTAAATATATGTTGCCACAGCAAATAGCACTCAGTTCACACACAAGCTCGGCTCCATCTATACATGCTGCACTTTTTAACCGCTATCAGGTACTTTCATAGTACCTGCGACGTCCTCATTCTACCAAGGCTTAGCTGGCACTAAAGTTTTCTAACTACCAGTGACTGGCCCTTGGGCTGCTGGAAGCCATGATTACCAAGGTACCTTGGTGCTGGTACTGGTTGTGTAGGTTGCCAGGATACAGTACCAGATTCTACAGCGTAATAGAAAGGCCACCAGGTAGAGTAAAGCCAAGTAGGGCGAAACAGGGCTGGTGGGAACAGGGTTTCAGTCATTGATTGTTACTTGTAGGTGGACAATAGTTTTCCCACCACCACTGATCCTATTGTGCACTTTCTTCTAATGCAGGTCACAGTTGAACCATACAGCAAAAAGATTCCTTGAAGCCATGAAATTCTATATCTGTAACAGCCACTGCGGCTCAGCCTGTTTTTAACAAGCGAGATTAGAACATGCACAAGTCGCAGCCTGAGCTCTCATTATAATACACCTATACAGGACTCTGGTCTACAACAGATTGTGGCCTTATGCTGTCGTGGTCCTCTGGCTTTGGCCCAGACGAGCTTATTTTTCGAAAGCACTCATTAGTGTGATTGTGCAACTAATGATCTTTGTGCAGGCTGTGGGCATTGTTTGCCTTAAGAAGATTAATCAAAGGCTGGAGTTTGTGCAGTTACAGAATAGGATAACACAAAATGCATCGGTTATATAGAACACTTTTCTAGATGCTCAAAGACGCTTCACGTGTCATTATTCTTTCACTCCATACGCAGTGGAGATAAACTTCTATTTTAGCCACAGCTGTCCTGAGGCACATTGACAGAAGCACACATCAGACTCATTTTAGCCAGTGCGGTAAATGTCTTGCCTAAGGACAAAATGACTCTTTGGCACGTTACAGCCACAGCCGCCCCCCTGTGGTACCTGGGGTTCCCAGAGGTCTCCCATCAAAGTACTAACCAGGCCCTGCCCTACTCAGCGTCAGAGGTTTATGGCCACATGAAGAATAGACAATCGAACTGGTTTTTCCCATCAGTATGTTGCAGGGGTATTTTATAAAAAAGAAAAAGTCTGTCTGATAGGGCAGCAAGATTAAACACAATCCAATCAAAGAAGTAATTAGTAAATGGAAATAGTTTGACCCTTTCAGTTGTCGTGACCTCTGAAATCCAGGACACTTTTTTCTTCCCACAAATGTTTCCCTAAATTCTTGTTAACAAAACATATAATATTTATAATAATATTTATCGATTTCAGTCATCCTCTATATCTTTTAAAGTTTACTTCTGTGCTGTGTAGAACCATCATCAATCATACCTCAAAAAAAGAGTTTACTGATCCATACCTCAGTTTAATGCAAGAATTCACAGTCTTGGAGAAAATCCTTTATAGAAATGTGAAACCGGTTTTACATACACCAGTTTTTCTGAGGGATAGGGAAGTGGTATTTGGTCAACATTGTCCTGCCCTACTTTCTGATTGTTTTTTTAGGAATTTGAATTGAAAAGTTGGATGGATAGTTGTGATGATCCAGGATATTGAAGGTTATTCAGGGACCTTTATTAACATTTATAGACATTGGTCATCCCATCCCCTATGGACCAATGGCTGTGTTTGTCTTTATTGCACTTCCTGCATTTAAACTGTTTGGTGTTTTGTTAAGTCCTTCGAGACGACTGCTGTTGTAATTTTGGGCTAAAAATTAGCCCAAAAAAATAAATTAAATGGAAGTGCAATGTGCTTGAAATTGCATCTTTACCCCATTTCTTAAGTGGCTGTGGTTGTCCTCTGACCCCAGTGGCTGCGGTTTGGTCTGATGACAAGCAGAACCTTGTTTTTTTGTGAGTGCCCCAGTTAAAGTGTCCTGTTTGCCATATAACACAATTTTCCCTGGAACTATAAATGTGTTTAAGGTGCCAAAGCCTGAGCACAAACCAGCCACATGATCTGAGTCATGTTGATCTGTGCAAACACGCTCCCTTTCTTCTTTGTGCTGAAGTAGTAGTGGTCGGGTGTGATGTCTCATTACACACAGTAGTATCACTTTTGTTCCATTTCTTTGTTTGTATCAGTCAGAGGCAGTAAGACAACATTGCTTTGAGTTTGGAGCAAGATTTTGCACTGTTCTGTACTGTGCGAGCCAAGGATAGACTGTATTTTAGGAGTGCTGACCCATAGTGTTAGCCTTAATACAGAAGATGCCAATTTAGAGTTTGAACTGGCCATTTTAATGGGAGTTTTGAGCCAAAGGTAAAAATGTTGTTAAAAACAAAAAGTTACAAACAACTTTATACACACTACAAAAATGATAAAATATGAGGTAATAACTGCTTGAAACTAGTGGTTTTTATCTTAATTTGAGCACATTCTGATAATATTTGTAAATGGGACAAGACACTTTCTGGGCGGAGTTTGCATGTTCTCCTCTTGTCTCCGTAGGTTTCCTCCGGGTGCTACGGTTTGGTAAATCTTGTTTTAAAGTAGTCAAAATGTGATCAAATTAAGATACATTTTGCCAAATTTTAGAAATCTTGTACTTATTTTTTATAACTTCTTTCATTGCAAAATGGATCCGGGCCTTCATAAAAGGATGTGAACCCTTTTATGTTCTTATGTTAAATAAATATATATTATGTGATGTAGAAATAGAAAGGATTTTTTTGTCCTGTGGGGCCTATGCTAGTTTGTTTTGGATAGTCTGAATGACCTCTTGTGCTGAAGTGAATACATGCAGCTGGATCTCTATTAGAGCGTCAATGTTATCTTTGTACGGAATTTCTCCATTGGCATCACATCGTTGCACTGCACATGATAAAACACTCTTTTATAAGCAATTGCAGGTCATCGCTATATTCTCTAGCACATCTCTCTCTGTATTTGTCTGTTACTAAAAGCCATTGCGTTCTGTGGTATACGATTGCTAACAGTGGAGCTATGCACAGGAGAGTGCAGTCCTGGAGAGTGCGTTTGTGCCTGCCAGTCTGCCCCTGTTTAAAGATAGGACAGCAGATTACAAAATCATGTGCCCCGCTAAGTGTGTTTCACAAAAGTGCTTTCACTCATTACTCCGTGTTCAGTTTGATGCACGTCCCTCCATTCCCAGCATGCTTTGCTTTTAGAGACATTGAGCGTGTCAGAGACTAATGGTTGCCTTGGTTACTATTTCATCCATCTGCGTTTGTTGAATGAAAGTCTATATTTATAGTCAGGGATAAAAAAAAAAATAGAGACGCCTGTGATCATCCGCCCCAGCTCTCGTTCTTTGATTTACGTAAAGTCATCGGAAAGAGTGTCCATACGCTCTATAGTCGACGAGACCACATTTGCGTGAAAGTGAGGGAACTGTAAACGCATACTTTGGACACACACGTTCATATAGGATAGTGGACAAACGGTGACCTCCGGAGGGACAGTGACTGTTCGCCAAGTACGTTTCTCTGCCCAACGAGGCTTCTAAGCACCGTCCAGGGGGTAGGACTGGACAAGGATAAATGCATTTGGTTTTGTCAAGGCTGGATCTTTTGAAAGTAGGACAACAAAAATGCCCCATAGGGAACTTTAAGAGTCAGAAAATAGACAGGAATAAAGTGTTTAAATACATTGTGCCAAGGAAAGTATACATAACTATTTTCTTTGTCCTCCCCAGGCCAATTGTGCTAAATGTACTAATTGATTAGAGTTGCAGGATGTAATTGTATCAAACATTATCAGCATCACATTAAATATTTGTATCGTGTTAGATTTTTTCCCTCATGTCCAACCACAACTGTCATGTGATTGTTTCCAAACCAGGTCACGCAACCTTCCTGACCATTGCCTTGAAAGTGCTTTTGTGCTCTTCACAGGTCCTGCAGGATGCAGCCACAGCTGCCCAGTGTTGATGATGATCCTGTTTAAAGAAGCAAAGCAGAGAAGCAACTTGTGACTGTGGCTTGTTCCCCTCACCCCTCCCATCTCTATGTCTGCCCTGCTCCGGCAGGCGGGCTGCGATGTCATCCACCACACCCCCTGGGGCCCAACCCTCTAAGAAGGGCCGAAAGGCAGACAAATCAGAGGTGATGGCCGACCCCACTCCGGCCACCAATGAGGAGCTCAAGTCCAGGCTCTTGGATGAGCAGGTCGAACTGCAGCAAGAGCGGGCTAAGGTGAGCGCACAAGCACCTGAAAGATATACATCAAACATTTACATATTGTCGTTATACTAAAGACAGACACTCATTCATTTGAGTGTTAAACACCTGGAATGCCTTGTGGGGAGTAGTGAGAGTCTGTTCTCTCTGTACCTCAGGTCTCCAAGCTCCGGGAGCGTCTCCAGGAGCAGCGCCAGGCCCGCGAGCTCGAACAACATAAACACGTTGTGGCCATCACAGACCTGAGGGCCAAACTACATGAAGAGAAACTCAGAGAAGTCGCTGCAGCTCGAGAAGCTTTAGCTCGACAACATGAGGTGGAACTGGCCCGCTCCATAAAGATCCGAGACACTGAGGTCCAGAGGCTGCAGGCTCTGGTCAACGCGTTGAGGGACGGAGCAGCCGATAAACTCAAAAACGCACTGCTCGGAGAGGCACGGGAGGAGGCGAGGAGGGCCTTTGATGGGGAGAGACTCAAACTGCAGCAAGAGGCAAGTCTCAATTCACACAGTAAGGGGTGGTTAAGGATCATCTTTGTACAAACCTATGCACCCAGCGCAGACCTCTGCCTAGTAACACCATTCCAGTCCTTTAAAACAAATCCTGCAGACAGCGATGGTCGCCTGAATCTCTCCTTCTCTGAGCCATTGTGCGTATTTCCTGTTGTCTAAATCCTCCCATAACCTTTTATGTTGCTCGCAGACAAACAGATGACGGAGGTAAAAAGATAAAAGTGTGAGTATTCTAGATAAATAATTGCTTATATTTTCCTCTCCTTCTCTATACTGCTTAGTAAAGTCACAGATAAAATGAGCGTTCTTAGATGATGTCCTTCTAGACTTTTGGTTATTTTAAAGCGTCATTAAGTGTGTGTGTGTCTATATTTAGAAGTGTTTGGTATTAGGTCGAGTGCTGATAGGGGAGTATGCAAACTTTTTTTCTCTTCTGAAAAACAGGAAATGGTGGAAATGCCTCTTGCCAAGCAACTGTTTTCTTCTCAAATCCACACCATTCATGAGTCATGTAGTTGAACAATGTTTTTAGGGCCTGAAAAATAAATAATAATAAAAATGCAAAAATGTCACACAGTTTGGACACTCAAACCCCTTTACACAGCACTATCAAGTGCATTTACAAAGTATAAGAATACAGAGTACTTTTAAAAACCGTATGTCCAACCGTATGGGATTATCAAACTAATTTATTATTCATACTTTATTCTGTAAGATCTTTTGTTACATTGTACAGAAAAGTAGACAAAAATAAGAAACACATAGAGCATCCTTTAAGACATATGTAGATGAATGTAAAGTTTAAACTGTCAATAGTATTTATTTAATACTGAATACATAAATATTAAATCAATTACATTTTCATGCATGAGATCCATTCTCTATTTATTGCATTTGTCTCATTAGTCTCACTAAAAAGCTCAATCTTCCCATATTTTAGGTTTCTTGGATTAATTGAGAATGTGAGAACAGGAGCATCTTTACTTAACTATCAAACAGAGCTGTCTTTTTTATGGTGCCGTCCCCTGTGCGCCCGGCAGAGAAGCCCCCCAGGGCTCCAGACCTGTGGACCGTTTTCAAAGACATCTCTTAACTTTCTCTTTTTAATTGTCATTGTAACAATTGTTATTGTTAAGCTGATGGTTGGCAATTGTAATCACACATTGTGTTTACTTTGGACATTTGATTTTTATACACACTCAGCTGCATTAATCATTGTTTTCTTAAGATTAAGTCACCATTGTTCCTATTAAGTTTAGTTTTTGCTTTGCCGAACAAAACAAAACAACAAAAACATTCACCATGATACTGAACAACTTGAGTGAGTATCCTATATTCGTCCAATTACATGCATTTATTGTGCAAGTTTGGCTTTTCCCTGTGCTCCTAAATGCATCACTGCTTGTTTCCAATCTGATTGATTTCTATACAGAAAGTGCAGCTCAACTGCCTTAGAATCGGCACGTACCAGCTCCTCAGAATGAACTGGATTTTCACACCTCAATCGGTGCACACAAGTTTACATAAGTATTCTATCAATCGAAATAAATTGGAGAGGGCAGAGAATTTGGTTTTCACGAGTGCTATGCAAACACATGCACTCTTTCATTCCAGATCCATGAGCAGAAGATGGGCAGAAAGCAGGCTGAGGAGGCCTTGACTAACGCACTCCAGGCGGATAAAACCAAAGCTACAGATCTGCGCACAGCCTACCAGCAGCACCAAGACGAGGTGCACCGGCTCAAGCGGGACTGTGAGAGGGACATCCGGAGAGTGGTGAGGCCTTGTGCTTTACAGAGCGTACAGTATCTCATGCTTGTGTGACTTCCTGCTATTTTACACAAACATTCATGAACCGTTTTATACTAAAGAATTCAGGGGTCTGCAAATTTTGTATACATCCCTTATTATGAATAAATGTTTTTGTATGGAGGAAGATTTTCTGTGTTAAAACTAGTGCTGTCTGACACATTGAGCACAACATGGCTTTTCAGGAAATACCAGTGGTAAAAGAACAAAGCAAAATGTTGAGAGGAAGTTGAGGAGGAACTTGCTAGAAGTCTTAGGCCTGGTAGAAGAGGAGCAACGTTTTGTGTAATATCCAGGGTTTTCAAATAATATGTTTCAGTCCAAATCCTCCGTATATATTAAACACATTTCATAAATTACAGCATTTGGAAAAGGCAGCAAAAATAGTAAAACCAGTAAAACCAAATAAGATCAGTAAATAGCCAACAATAAATATAAAATAAAATGGATGAAAGAACCCAGAGGACCACACGCGAAAGACCTAAAACACTCAATTTCCCAGCAAATAAAAAAATAAACATGAGGCCAGTACAAAGAAAGTTAAATTGTTGAATTGTGCTCAAGTTGTTTGGGTTCCTGTTAAAAACCGTGTTGCGAAGTTTTGGACTATTTGTAAGTATGAATGTGTATTACAGTAGTCTAGACTTGACATAAAAGTATGATTTAACGGCTGTGCAGATTAAACTTTAAAATCATCACTGTGCATGGTGACGTCCTGGTTAGCAGCATTATGGCCCCAACTGGAGATCTTTGCGCCCTAACAAAACAATTTCAGTTTTTCCCTCATTCAAACACAGAACAATTTGGGCCCACCAAGCTTTGATGTTGCCAAGGCAGTCCTGCAGGTGCTTCAGGGGGCCCTTTTCTTGCTTTGAGATGGGCAAATAAAACTGGCAGTCGTACTGTACGTGTATAGTAAGCAGTACTATGCTTTCTAAACATGGTACACAGCGGGAGGAGGTACATTGAAAAGAAGAGTGGTCCAAGAATAGAACCTCGGGGGACTCCACAGTGCACCTCGAACTGAACTAAACTAATGCAGTCCCCCTCTCACTGTCGTTGAGGCAGTTTCGAAGATTCGCATGGTCGACTGTATCTAGTCAGGTCTGACATCACAAAATAAAAAACCCACCAACATGTTAATATGGTCATGAGTTTTCAGTGACCAGTATGTTATTGTATCGTGTTTGTGTTATTGGAATAGTATCACATCAGGTTTCATGACAGTTCATAGACATTAATATATCAAAAGTGTAAATGATGAGTATCAATCAATCAATCAATCAATCTTTATTTATAGGGCGCTTTTCCTGCACAGGGCAACACAAAGCGCCTCACAGTCCACACCACACAATGCACAAATCATCACCATTAAAATACAATTAAAAACACATATGTAATTAAAAAGCATTAAAATCACATAAGTAATTTAAAAACATAAAAATCACACAAGTAATTAAAAACAATAAAATAGTTAAAAACACAAAAAGTTACAACAATAAATAACAAGGTGTGTTAAAAAGATAAAATTCTCTAGTTGTATGCACGGGAAAAAAGAAAAGTCTTTAACATGGATTTGAACATTGACAGAGAGGCAGCCAGTCTCACATCCTCAGGAAGACCGTTCCAGACTTTATCTGCATAAATCTGAAAAGCAGCCTCCCCCTGTCTAGTCCTGACTCTGGGCACTAACAGGAGTCCCGTCCCTGCGCTCCTCAGAGTCCGGGCTGGTTCATATGGGACTAGCATATCATGGATGTACTTTGGTGCAAGGCCATGGAGAGACTTGTACACCAGGAGAGCTGCTTTAAAGTCTATCCTCTGGGCCACGGGAAGCCAGTGCAGAGACCTGAGGACCGGACTAATGTGGTCGTACTTCCTGGTTCTAGTCAGGACTCGGGCTGCAGCATTTTGAATATACTGCAACTGTCTTACTGCATGTTTGGAGATACCTGTGAGCAGGCCATTGCAGTAATCCAGCCTACTGGAAACAAAAGAATGGATAAGAATCTCCAAGTCTGCCCTGGACACAATATTTTTAATTTTGGCAATATTTTTCAGATGATAAAAAGCTGCTGATGTTACCGATCCAATGTGGCTATTGAAGTTTAAGTCAGAGTCCATTATTACTCCCAGATTTCTGACCTTATTTAAGGGCCTTAGGGAGAGAGACTGAAGGTGACAAATGACGGTCTCTCTTTGTTTCTCGGGACCAAAGACAATCATTTCGGTTTTGTCCGCATTTAGCTGGAGAAAATTGCATTGCATCCACTCACTGATCCGCTGGATACAGCGAAGGAGTGAGTCCACCGGCCCATGCTCTCCTGCAGTCAGTGAGACATAGATCTGAGTGTCATCAGCGTAATTGTGGTAGGACACTTTCATACTTTGAATTAACTGACCTAATGGCAGCATGTAAATATTGAACAGGAGAGGTCCCAGAATCGACCCCTGTGGCACTCCGCAGGTCAGGGCCATATTATCTGAGACATAGTTTCCAATCTCCACACAGTACTTCCTTTCTTCTAGATAGGACCTAAACCAGCTTAGGGCGGTACCAGCAACACCAACCCAGTCCTCCAGTCTCTGCATGAGAATCTCATGGTCAACGGTGTCGAAAGCGGCACTCAGATCTAACATGACTAAAACAGAGACTTTTCCTGCATCAGTGTTAAGCCGAATATCATTTGTTACCTTGACTAGAGCGGTCTCAGTACTGTGGTGTGGTCTAAAGCCAGACTGAAACATGTCAAATGAGTCATTAGATATTAAAAATTCAGTAAGTTGTTGGTAGGCAACTTTTTCAAGAATTTTTCCCATGAAAGGCAGATTTGAGATGGGACGGTAATTTTCAAGTACCGCAGCATCCAAACTGCTCTTTTTTAGGAGGGGCCTAATGACTGCCTTTTTCAGGGCCATTGGAAATGTTCCAGATAAAAAAGACATGTTTACTATTTGTGTCAATGAGGGTAATAGACTACACATAACAGACTTCAGAAATCTAGGAGGTAGTACATCCAGACTGCAGGTAGAGGAACTAAGACCTGTGATTATCTTTTTAACAGTTTCATCATTGACAGGTGCAAATTGAGCTAGCTCACAAAGCCTCACTGGATGTTGCATTGTTACTTGTGTTGTAGAGGTGATGGCATTTCTGATACCCTGAACCTTGTCTCTGAAGAACTGTGCAAACTCATTACACCTGGATTTGGAGTAGTGTTCTAATGGCAACTCAACAGGGGGGTTCGTTAATCTATTGATTGTTGAAAATAGAACACGCAGATTGTTGCTGCAGCCTTCAATAGTTTCAGAAAAGTATAATTCTCTTGTTCTACGTAGTACTCTGTTAAACTCACACAACTTCTCTTTTAAGAGTCTATAATCACCCTGGAGGTTGGACTTTCTCCACTTTCTCTCTGCTCTCCGGCACTCTTGCTTCTGTGCCCTGACCGGGCCTGCTTTTATCCATGGGGCTTTTTGCTTATTTGTGACCATTTTTACCTTCACAGGGGCAATGGCGTCCAGAACATTCAACACACTAGAGGTGACAGAGTTAAGCAGTTCATCTACAGTAGAACATGATGTGTTCTCAAAATGGATCATTCCCATAAATAGTTCACCCGTGTTTTCATTTAAGTGTCTACTTCTAACAATTTCATATTTAGCGGGTGGTCTGGTAGCAAAACACATGTTAAAAAATACACAGAAATGATCCGACAGAGCAACATCAACTACATTAACTTTTGAAATATTCACCCCTTTCGTGATAAGCAGGTCCAAGGTGTGTCCTCTGCTATGGGTGGGGCCACTCACATGCTGAGTGAGGCCAAAGGATTCAAGTATGGAACTCAGCTCTTTTGCGTATCTGTCATTAACATTATCCACATGAATATTAAAATCGCCTATAATGACTAAACCATCAAAATCTGTGCACACAACTGAAAGCAACTCAGTGAAATGATCAGTGAAACTATGGCATGACTGTGGCGGCTTGTACACAACAATAATAAGAATGGAAGAAGATTTCTTTTGTTCTATTTTAAAAGAAACATACTCAAATGATGAAAATTTCCCAAGAGACACCCTATGGGAGACAATACGATCTTTAAAAACTGCTGCTATGCCCCCCCCCCCTTTTATTTTCTCGTGTTTCATATTCAAATTTGAAATTTGGTGGTGAGGCTTCTATTAAAACTGCATCTCCTGTATTATGGTCAAGCCATGTTTCAGTCATAAACATAAAATCAAGATCATACGAACAGATAAAATTATTAATTAAAAATGATTTGTTGCATAGTGATCTGACATTAAGTAGAGCAAGGTTAAAATTAATATCAGTGTCAGTGGGTTTAGTTGATTGATTACAAAGAACTGGAATTAGATTTCCAGAGTTGGACCGTCTAACTGCTGTCCTTCTTTTAAATTTGTGTTTATCCAACTGTTCTCTTTGTAGATGGATGAGCTGAAAGCCAAGGACCGTGTGGTGTGTGCCTTGGAGAGGGAGCTAGGGCTGCAGGCTGGATATGCCCAAAAACTGCAGCTTCAGAAAGAGGCTTTGGACGAGCAGCTGGGGCAGGTGCGAGAGGCTGAGAAGTTCAACCATGGTAGCCCCAAAAGAGAAGTGGTGCCTGGGCTTGGCGATAACCAGGAACTGCAGTACAACCAGGTACTTTCTCTCATTTACTTGGGCTGGTATATAAACCTCTGTTGATTTGTTATGAATGTTTTGTCATTCTATATTGTGATTAACATTCCGTAAATCTTCATGAATCTAAGTACAATCCATTCCTTAGCTTGTGTATAGGATTGCACAGTTAATACTTGTTTTTATAAAACGTTATATGTATTATTATAATATTAGGTGACGTGGACTTTGCTCAGAGTTTTTCTGTGCTGAACCATAATTTTGGATCATTCTATTCCATTGGGAAATTAACAATTAATATTGTATTAGAAAAGCTTGTGATTGCTAATTACTGGTCATAAAAAAAAAAAAAATAGTTATTTGTTTAAGTTTACGTATGTGTATAGCACATTGTATACTCCAAATTTTGCACAATGTGGTTAAAAGTGTCATATTGCAACTTTGTGAACCTTTTGATCACAGTTATGTCTTCAGCGTTCCAGGGTCAATTGTTTTTCAGGTTTTCTGGTGAGAGAATTGACAATCGATCCAAATGTATCCTAGAGACCACTGTGGCGGAAAGTAAAGATGCCAAGCTGACCACTCTTATGGTCACCAGGTTATTATTGGTCAATAGGAAAAAATATAAACTTTTTTCATAAAATAATACCCCTTTAACACAACAACATAGGGAGTGGAGTGTTGCAGTCAGTACATTGGATACCAGTCTTCCAGTATGAACGTAAGCTTCATTAGTTATGTCAATAGGGCTGTAACAATTTAACTGATTATGAGATGAGATATATTCTATATTGACATTGATTTATTGATTAATAGGAAGTACTCGGTTTTTCCAATAATTGCTAAATTATTTCAGTAAATCAGTAATTGTTAAATGCCCTATACACAGAGTCCTTAACATAGAGACATGGACTCGTCTCTAAGCAACTACATATAAAACTGAACAGGAAATGTTAAGACCTTTCGTGAATGATAAAGCAGCCTGAGCCGGAAATGTATAATTTATGGTATTAGAATGTCCTCAAGTGGCTTCACATTGAGCCACAAAGGTCCATCAAACTCAATGGTCAGCTTGGATTGAATCAATGACTTAACCACATGTGTTCGTTTATTGTAAATTAGCCGGAGAGTGTCGTCCATGAAATATTTAATGCCATTTTAGTTTTTTTAGACTAAAATAATACAAAAGCAGCGGCAAATGTAAAACAGTGAATGAATACTCTTACATTGTTTAACCAGTGTGTCTCCCCATCTCTGCCGGACAAACACTGGTAGAAACAAAGTAACTATGAGAGGCCAACACTTTCCTAGGCGGTGCTCGTGGAAAGTTTGAACACGTCTATTTGAATGCCAGAGAATAGTATTTGCATCTTTTTCATTCACCCGCTTTCACCTCATCTTTTCCGTCCACTGTAAACCTGCATGTGTGCCTGCATGACAGCCCCCCTCTCAGTTTGTGCCCTGCTCTTCTCCTCTGCCCCCTGCTGTTCAGGAACTGGACGAGCGGGACATGAGGAGATTCCAGCTGAAGATCGCAGAACTTCACGGTATTATCCGAAAACTGGAAGATAGAAACTCGCTGCTGGCCGACGAGCGGAATGAGCTGGTGAGAAGAAGTACACAATCACTGCGAAGAATTTGGATTGGACAACGGTTGATTTGTTGTGGTTGTGGGCGTAGGTGAAACGGGTGAGAGAGGCAGAGAGCCAAATGAAGCCCATGTTTGAGAAGAACAAGCGCCTGTCCAAGAAAAATGACGACCTTCTACAGACTCTACAGCGAATGGAAGAAAAGCTTAAAAACCTGAGCCGCGACAACGCTGAAATGGTGAGGTTTTTATTGTTATTTTATCATGAGCAGGGCTGGGCAATACGGCAATACATACAAGCTTGTTTAATACATTATTTTAGGGTTGGAGCTCTACACCAAATCTGAATCATAGAGACAAGGGCTTCTCGGTTACAATGCTCCCTGTGTGGAATTTGGATGTTCTCCCTGTGTCTGCGCAGGTGTCCTCCGGGTGCTCCGGTTTCCCCTACCACAAAAAAACCATTTTGATATGTTTTGTAAAGTCCTCTGAGATAACTACTGTTGTGATTTAGGGCTATACAAGAATAAATGTAATGTAATGAGAGAATGTATTGTGACGGTTGAGGCTTCGGTCTCGCTTCTTTCATTACTGTGTGGAGTGATTGGAAAATATTGGTTCAACAAAAATGCGTTTTGTATGACCTTGAATGTGCTAGATGTTTACAATAGGGAACAGTATTAAAACTCTTGTGTGATGTCATTTGCAGAAGGAGAAGGCGGCCTCCTCTCGGCCCCCCTCGCAGCCGCCTCATCAGTCCCAGTTGAAGAGGCCGAGCTCGCTGTCCGACCTGAGCCACGCCCACGAGGAGCAGGAGCTGGAGTTCCTCAAACTGCAGGTGGTCGAGCAGCGCGGGATAATCGATGAGCTCACACAGGTCTCCCTTTCACTTTCACTTTCACATGATTGATGGATATTTGGAAGAATACTTTACTATATGAAGAGAGCTGAAAAAAGTAATGTATTTATTTTTCCCACAACAGTTAATGTGCATTAAATATGTTAAAGAAAAAATATTATGTTTTGTCTTTGGCCATTCCAAACTACAATAAGACTATTTCCTCATTGTCAATTAATGTTTTAGAAGTGATGTGAAATAATGTCTTTATTATTCTATATCACTGACTAAATTATGTGGTATATTAACTATCAAGGACCCTTCCTATCTATATGTAACCACCAGAGGGAGATGTAGAATTAGTTTTGTGTGCCTGTGTGTTGTCTGTAATACTTTGGCCTTTTTTGTTGATGAAAGAATAAAAAACAATTAATAAAACCTAATTAAAAATTATTTTGAAACCATAATTTGCTGGATAATTATTTGGTGAAATGTAAAACAGATTTTTGTTTTTTTTCTGTAGGAACGTGACAGACTGGCGATGACAATGAAGACCAAACGAAGACAAGTGAAGATGCCTAAAGTGAGTGTGAATTGCTGATAATAAACTGCAGTCGTGTACAAGCAGACACAGGGTCTCGTGTGCGTTTGTGTGTGTGTGCATGTGTGTGTCTGCGCGTGTGTCTGCGCATGTGTGTGTCTATGTCTGTGTGTGTGTGTGTGCGCGTGTGTGTGTGCGCGCGTGTGTGTGTGCATGTGTGTGTCTGCGCGTGCGTGTTGATGCAGTGTGCTGTATTCTAATATAATTGGTCTTTAGGGACAGTAATGACAGAACACTGCACAACAACATACATCTCACTGTCCAAACACCTCGTCTGCTGTGCCAGTCCCACTCTGTGAATGAATATTTCTTTTATGAATCTGGCTCTTTAAAGTATTCAAGATTATTTCTGTCAGTTTGAGTTGAGCTGTCTGGGAGAAAAGAAATTGACGCAACCAAGATGCAATAAAGTCTGGCTTTTTCATGGGATCAAGAGACACTGATGGCTGTGGGGCTGAGTTCTCTCGGGCTCCTTTTCATCACTGTATTCAAATTTGATGAAGTGATTTGAATCGACTGAAAGCTCATCGACCAGTTTGAGGTGTTTTTAGGAACCTGATTTTTCAACACAAATGATGGTGTTTTTAATTGAGATTGATGCAACAAAGCTCTTGGGTGCATTGTACTAGAAAGTTTACAGTGAATTGCAAAAATATTCCTTTGTAGATGCATTTATTGAAATTTAATGTGAATGATACACATTAATGGGCACACAATCATGAAGCATAATGAAAAGTATAGATGACTTTGAACTTTTTTCATGAATAATATATGGGCTGTGCAAAAGTATCTACCCCCTTGCTGTAAATACAAGTCTGTTGGGGTCTGTCTCTACCAGCCTTGCACATCTTGAGACTGAAAGTTTTCCGATTCTTCTTTGCAAAACTGCTTAAGCTCAGTTAGAGACAGACCTTTCCTCAGATTCTCTGATTGGATTTAGGTCTGGACTTTGACTTGGCCCCTAGAACAAGTTTATGTTTGTGGTCCTTGCATGGCAAAATGTCAAAAAGTTGAAGGGGTGCCGATACTCGTACAACTCGCTGTAAATCAGGTTTACACCGTGAAAGCTTTTAATCCAGAGGAAGTGTTAAATCTGGCCCTTGTCTATGTCTTTATTATTTGATTATGCTTAGAATGAAAATTTACTCTTTTTGTAGCCCAGTTGAATGTTTACCCGGAAAATGTTATCCAACTGAGTGAAGATTGTCGTGTTGGAGTATGTATAAATGCCGTTGTTAGCCCATGCAGAGATGAATTCACTGGAGGCCACTGCGTTGCTAAGGGTGGAGTTAGTCGAGCGTCGTCGTCACTTTACCTCTGTGTTTGTGGAGGGCACAGCAGTTTTAGATTCCTTTTCCCTGGATTACATATTCCAACATTATACAAGACACTGGCATCATGACGGAGTATTTTCATTTGATCCTCTATTTTTCGGCCTTCATCTGCTTGTGCGCCCTGGTCTGTCTGTACTTTTCTGGTTGTCAGGAGATGACTTACAAACATGATGGTAAGAGTAGTTTCCTGAAGAAAGAAAATTAACTAGGATATTAACTAGCAATTGTTTTAGTCAGTCTTTGTGTCTTCAGAGAGAAAAATTACATATTTATATTCCAGGAGACACTGCGGCTTTTTACGGGCTGATATAAATCCATTACTCCTCTTCAAATTTGTCAATCTCTAAAAGTGAAAAAGTTGTAGTCCTCTAGTTACAACATGTTTTGTGGGTGACTTTATTTTTATTGTTCTTAAATACATCTGGCTTTTCAAATATTGCGTGGTAAAAAATACGCATTTTAAGATTGTGACAGTGGCAAATAAGGATAACCGCACGCAAAATGTAGGGCTGCAAAGATAATAGATTAATACAAAATCAAAATCTAGTGTAATAATAGAAACAAGGAACCAAACGGGGACGTGGACAAGAACGAGACAAGACATGGGAATAAAAATGATGGAATTCGGAGAGAAGGAATACACTAGGTTTAAATACACAAGACAATAATAATAATAATCAGACAAACAGGAAGTAGATCTACATAAGGCACAGGGGTAAGTTTCAAAATAAAACAGGAAATATACCTAAACCATGACACCTTCCATATATTTTTATGCATTTATCTGTTTTTGTGAGTTATTTCTCCAGCTGGTGTGTGTGATTTTTAATCATTAAATAACACAATTGGATCATGTAATAGGTTAGTTGTGAGCCATTGATAGCATTACATATGGACTTTTGCACAAGTATACAAACCTTATAGCAAAAGGGACACTTTAGTTCCCCAGATTTGTCCAGCGGCCGACAACGGATATTGTAAAACGTGTTCAACTGTGTTCTGACTGTTCTAAGCTTCAGTTTCCATATGAATTCACATCTGAAGTTGGCTGAATAGCAAATGATAACTTTTCTCACGTGCTACATTTGTGCCATAAAGGCTCATAAACAAATGCCTGTGTTGTCAAAGATGTCCTGGGCTTTACAATGATCAGGCCTATGTTGAGGGAGCAGAAGTTGGCTGGATGACACTGTGACTGTGAGCTTGTGTTTATGATTGAGATGGTGTCTTCGTGTTAAAAAGCAGAGGACCACATAAAATGCCACTGAGGGCCACAAGGGCCTGACTTTGGGCAGTTTAAGGTTATACAGGGATCAAGAGTTCCGAGCTTCCGGCTCGACCGCACGGCATTGTGGGTAGTATTCTCAAAAAAGTGGACATAAACTCACGCGCTCTTATTAGATTACCTGTTGCGAGCGTGATCTGTCTCTCTTATTTCCAGCCCATCGATTGTTTTAATCGCTACAAAAATCACCAATTTCAGAAATTTTGAAGATAGGGTAAAGATTTTTTCATTTAACAAAAAAGCAATGCATTTATGTTCTTGTGGTTTTGGATGTAAACACAACCAACTGATGATAGAGCTACTCGCAGCTTATGCTACTTACGAGGATCGAATGCTTACATGCAAGCTTTATAAACTTGCCCAAAGCTGTACTTTGGACATATTTGTCTGGTGTGGAGCTTCTGAATGTAGAGAAGGCCAAATACCTGGGGCACGTAATCAGGAGTGACCTCAGTGATGACGATGACATTCAGAGGCCGCACTGTAAGCTTTATGGACAGGCTAACACTTAAACACAGAGATTTCACATGTGTACAGACAAAGTGAAAATAACTTTCTTCAAAGCCTACTGCACACCTTTGCTTTGGGCAAGTTTATAAAGCTCGCGTGTAAGCATTCGATCCTCGTAAGTAGCATAAGCTGCGTGTAGCTCTATCATCAGTTGGTTGTGTTTACATCTAAAACCACAAGAAAAAAAATGCATTGCTTTTTTGTTACATGAAAAAATGTTTACCTTACCTTCTAAATGTCTGAAATTGGTGATTTTTGTAGCGATTAAAACAATCGATGGGCTGGAAATAAGAGAGACAGATCACGCTCGCAACAGGTAATCTAATAGGAGAGCGTGATTTCATGCCCACTTTTTTGAGAACACTACCCACAATGCCGTGCGGACGAGCCGGAAGCTCGGAACTCTTGATCCCTGTATTCACTAGTGTTTTTTAACAATCATCCTGGAATTTTTATTCTATTTTATTTTTCTGCAGAGGCATGTTGTGGAGACATATTTTGGATTTGATGAAGAATCGATTGATTCCGAAACCTCGTCGCTGGTTTCATACAACACTGACCTGACCGACCGCACACCTGCCACTCCCGAAGAAGACTTGGAAGAGGTAAGAGGTCCTTATACATGAGTTGTGTTTCTCATCTCTTGGTTTGACTGTATTATATTATTATTATTTTTTTTTAGAATATTTCTCGTGAAGAGTCCGAGCTACGTTTTCGGCAGCTGACCAGAGAGTACCAGGCGCTGCAGCGAGCCTATGCCCTTCTGCAGGAACAGACTGGGGGGACGCTGGACGCTGAGAGGGAGGCCAGGGTTTGTACATTTACATCATCTATCAATCAATCAATTTCAAAAACTGTAAAACACATATTTACAGAATTTAAAAAAAACAGAATTACAATACCATTTTTAAAAGGGGTTGTATGAAGCAATACAACTCGTAGTGTGCCTCTTTGTTTCAATTTTGGCCTTTGAACATGATTTTGTGAGTGTATCTGGTTTCGAATCCACCTTTAGACATGACTTTTCTGTGTGGAGTTTGCATGTTCTTCCCATGTCTATGTAGGTTTTCTCTGGCTGCTCCAGTTACCCCTACCTCAAACACATGTACAATAGGTCCTGTATGGCGTCCCCGCTTCCATCACTGTGTGGAGTGAGACGAAACATGCCCACAACAATTTTAAAGCTCGTTGGCATATAAATAAAGATTACTTACTCACTTACTTACTATTTATTTTTACCATTGCAGTCTAAACAATATGAATGATGTATCTTATGGAGAGAGATGGTGAGGAACAATTAACACCCCCATCTAGTGGTGAAAGTGTATATGTTATTATTGGAATAATAATGTTTGCTTCATCCAATCCCTTTTCAAACCATGTACATGAATTTTCTTCCTCTAAATAATAGTTTCTTCAAGTGCGCTGGTTTGAAATAAATGAATCCAGTAAAAAAAAAAATCGTATCGATAAAAATGTTATTACAAATTGATTTTGTTAGTGTTTGTCTTGCAAGCACAATTTAATCTAGTTGTGAATTGTTTGATATTTTGGAGTCAATACTTTTCTCTACATCATATCGTCTGAATATTTTGTTATAGAAAACCTTGATAAAGATGGAGATTGTAAATGTGTTGGGACAGAGGTTCCTGATATTAGCGCGGATGGAGATAAAACTACAGCAGGTCATCTCCAACCTATAAATCGGGAGCTTGTTCTAATTACAATTTAATTTGTATCCGAACCAAAAAATTATGATAGATGGTTCATGGGCTTACGACTGTATCCTATTTCAGGCCACACACACAATAAGATGAAATAAATAATTGCTTAAATGATAAAATTATCAGTTATAATTTTACTGATAACTTTACTGATCATATTGTCCCTTTTCAATCACAGGAACATTTTAGAGTAATTCTTAGTGACACATTTCTCTTCCCATATCAACTTTCTATTTAAAATAAAACATGCACTTCATTCCTTTATTTATATTAGCGTGGAAGCGTACTGTTATATGAAAAAAAGTTAATTACGTCTTCTTCTATTTTATAGGTAATTAAGCTGCTCAAGCTTCTTTACACTTTTGTCTTATTAAAATATCCTTCTAAGCCTCAAGCATAGAACTATATTATGTTTGTTTTTTACAACTGCGGTAGAATGTAGCTCTCTGGAAGGAAAAGGTTGGAGTCCCTTTAACTACAGGGATTGTTGAAGCTATTTTTCCTTGAAAGCAGCAGAATGTACATTGTGTTAAAAAAGATTTGAGATTTCAGAAAGAAAAAAAAATCAGGAAAGTCCCTGGCCCCAGAGAGAGGGGAGATATTGAACATGTTTTTAGTACATGACTCACTCAAATGTTTAGAGTGTAAGTGAGATGAGAAAACAAGATTGATTGTTGCACAATATAAAATGTAGCTTAGGAATGTTCGAGTGTTTGTGTAAAGTTCGGACTAAAACTTGATTGTTGTTACTTCTAATTAGATAGATAGATAGATACTTGATTGATCCCGAAAGAAAATTGTGCACATTTTCTCACATTTGCACAAACATGACAAATTCTGGACTTGCATAATATTAAATGTAGCTTCACAAACTTTTTTTTGTGTCCTCAGTGTGCTTGTGTTGTTGTGTCGTGCTCCACAGGGCCGAGAACAGATGCAGCAGGAGCTCAGCAGCTGCCAGGCCAAGATCCTGGACCTGGAGAAGGCCCTGTCGGAGCGGGGGCAGGTAACGCGCATGAGGGAGGGGGACAGGAGCTCGCACTGGGTCTTGCTCTCGCTGGCCGTCCTGCATGTTTTTCTGGCTCTGTTCTTGGGCTGGCGCTATGCCGAATACGTCCACGTCTTTCTGTGATGTCACTTCCTGCCCTGCATGCGCTGCGCCTTGCTCTATGCCACAAAGACCGATCTGCCTGGTGCCGTACGCTGCTTTGGGACTTTGTGTCAGGGACCATTCTGAAATCCAAACTTTTGTTTCAGTTATGTGTTATATACGTAGTCATATTTTTCAAATCCATGTATGGTAATATTTGCAAAAAATTGTATAGTATCTTTAAAGAGGCACTATTTAGGTTTTTCTCGTGGCGGGTGTATCACCTGCTTGTGGCATGATTTAAACTCAATTCAATTCATTTTTGTATAGCCCTAAATCACAACAACAGCTGTCTCGGGAGGTCGTCGATTTGCCAACAAGAGATCAGAGAATCAAACACATAAAATGCAATAATAACAAACAAAAGGTGGCATTCGTCCATAGGGGGAAGGATGACCAATGTCCATAAAAGTCCTAAAAGTCCCAGATTTTCACTATTGTTAGACCCTCCTGCATTTTCAAGGTAAAACTTAAAAACATATATATATACAATAAAATAAAAACATGAGAGAGGTTTCCACTCCCACAGACAGGCATCAAAATTGTATTGCCTGTTTGGGATTGACTTTTTACTATAACCTTGCTTATTTCCTTTTTGTCAACATTCTAAGCACCGCAATATCATCTCCATTGTGAATATGTTTGACAAACCTACACAGTGCCTTTTATGTAGCTGCATATTTTACATTTCGGTGTAGATTGGATCATCAGCATGTTTTCTGTGTCTTGGCTCTCACAATATGTTCTTCACCAAAAGCTTTTTTTCCAACACAAACATTTGATTTCAGTTGAACGTGTGTCTCGTCTCCGGTGATGGCTTGTTCTTGTGTTTCTCCTGAGTGTTCACTTTCTTCCAAATCAATAAAGCTGTTCGTCTCACCTTTTTTCTCGTCCTCGTCTTCTATTTGTGCCTGCACCGCATCAGCATGTTTATTTCACTTGTGCATGAGCGTATCGAGTGTTTGAGGAAAGTTGGGACCAAAACATGATATTTTTACTTCTAATTCTGGACTTGGTTGCTATGACAGGATTCAAAATGGGTTGAAGAGAAGCAGTACTTGCTCAGGACCAATCAGGAGCTGCACGAAAAGGTAAGTACCCTGTTCACATGTAAACAAATAAGCCGACAATACCATAGCGATGTATAAAACCGAAAATTTGTCTTGTGTCTTAGATGTGTGCACTGCAGCAGGCGGAAAAGCGACTTGAAGCTGAGGTTCAGGACGCTCGGGACCAAAATGAGCTGCTGGAGTTCCGAGTGCTGGAACTAGAAGTAAGAGACTGCAATGCCATCATAATGTCACCAGGAGGCGACAACAACAACCTCAGCTCCAGAATCAAGACTTATTTACAGTGACGCATAGACTGCCTGGAACTCCACTGTGTCCATATGATTGTCTTTTATGGTTTTGCATGGCAGCTGTCGGCCCCATCCATGAACTGGAATCTTTTTTTTTAACGCATGAATGTAGATGTATTTTACTTGAATAAACCATATTTAATTACTGCACCCACGTTCACCTTTGCTCATTTTGTATCCCATTTGCACGCATGTTTTTCTTACTTTATTTGTATTGTGTAAATCATCAGTGTTGTATATTACTGAGGTATAATATTTATCATGTGAATAAATGATTGTTGTTATTATATCTGAGCACATATCTTCACTGATGTTTTCAATTGGAACAAGGTGTCGCTCGCTGGCGATTGGTTCGATTTGATTTTGTCCACGTGAATTTTTGCACCCCATTATATATATTTTTTCACCTTTGTTTTAGCAGATCCTGGTCATGTTATCTGTCTTTAAGTAAGTACCATCCCAATAGTTTCCTTTATCACTCTATGTACACTGTATTCTGTATGATGTATTTATTACCTGACAAACGAGTAGACTTCATCCATATTAATTGCGCTGATGGTGTTTTTCTGCATTAGTTTAATTGCTGTTCTTCCAGGAAAGGGAGCGGAGATCTCCTGCCTTGAATCTTCACATGTCGGCCTTCCCTGAAAACAGCAGCAGTGCCCTACAGAGCTACTGCCACCAGCAGGGCGTGAAGGTCAGAATAAATGCATTATCAATTATCAAAACTTCATTCAATAAAGTCAAATTAATGGCTTTGTCCACAGGATGTGGTTATCCCTGAGCTCATGAAAAAGCTGGATATACTTGGAGATAATGGGGTGAGTGTGAAATGTTTTGTGTTGTTATACCTGTAGCTCATGCTGTGTATATTAAACCTAATTCTTTGCTTCAAATCCGCTTGTCACATTACTATTATGCTATTATTATCACGACATTATTACTTATTTCATATTCTACTTTTATATTTCGATTCCACATCTAGCCTTTTCTGTGTGGAGTTTGCATGTTCTCCTTGTGTCTACTCTGGTTTCCTCCGGGAGTTCCGGTTTCAATTCAGGGTGAATGAGTGAGTGTGACAGTGGGACGACGAATGCAAATTAGCACAAGGCTACAACCTGGACAGATGTGTTCATTAAAATGCACTGTCCCAACCAAATAAACAATAAACACCTACATAAATAAATGATAGATCCTGTTTGAGTTGTGTATAACTTAAGTGCTCTTATTTTTATCTTTTTATTATGCTGTAATGTGCACTATGAAATTGAAAATTCCCCACTGATGGACAAATTCATTTTTCTTATCTTATCTTAAATGACCAGAATTTGAGAAATGAGGAGCAAGTGGCTGTGATCCAAGCAGGGACAGTCATCTCCCTCTGTGAAAAGGTAAGTGGTCTCCCCCTAGTGGACAGTTACTGCTGCTGCAACTGCGCGTAACCTGCCGTGTGCTTTTCCAGTGGCTGAAGCAAATTGACAACACTGAAGCAGCTCTCACTCAGAAAATGATTGATTTGGAAAATGACAAGGTAACAATCCTGGATGCTACACTACAGATAATGCTCCATGATGTTAATGGTGATAATGTTTGTGACAGGAGTTGTTCAGTAAACAGAAGGGTTTTCTTGAGGAGGAGTTGGACTACAGGAAACAGGCTCTGGACCAGGCCCACATGGTATGACACAATAGTTCTTCAAAAAGTGTATAAGTGTAGATCTTCAAGTAAATTATTTCCAAAATGTTGCCAGTAAAGCAGAACATTATGCATGACATCTTGGGCTTCATGAACATTCCCATAAAGGTACTTGACATTTCGTTGGGATACTGCATCTTTAACACCTGTGAAATTAACCCAATTGATGAGCTTTGGAAAAAAGATTTGATTTTCACATTTAATGAATCCACAAACAAGTATTGAGCTTGAATATTTAAGTTTGTGCCATGTTTTGTTTTCTTCATCTCAACCTGTTGTAGGCGTCACTTCATGACTTTAATAATGTAGTTTTAGGTACATAGTCTTACCTGCACATTTGGTCAGTTTGTTTCCTTAGTAATGTCACTGTAGATTATGGTGTTAAGTGATTTATTGATACAGGACAAAAGTGAACCTGTTTTAGCAAAACCTGCACTGCCAGAAAAATGTAATATTTTTATTTTTTTATTTTATTTGAGTACATTCTGACTTCTTTCAAACAAGATTTGGCTATGGGATAAAGCCATGTATTCTTATTTCAAGAACTATTGCTTTATTTTCTCATTCCAAGGGAGACATTTCTGATATATTTTTAAAACCACAGCATTTTGCTTGTCTCATTGGCAAATCTTGTTTTAAGGCAATCAAAATATGCTCAAATTATGATACATTTTGCCAAATTTAGACATTTTCAATCACTTTTTGAAGTGTGATAATGGTTAGTGCTGTATGTGAATGACCCCCTAGGCTCATGTGACCTGGGCAGTGACATTTGGACAGTCCCACAGTATTCTGTAGATTTCCTGCTCTCAGTGGTGTCTGTGTGTCTCTGCTTGACGTGCATGTGTCCTGCATGTGCATGTGCCTGTGCTCTGTGGCTGCGTGTGTAGAGGATCCAGGAGCTGGAGGCCACTCTGTACAGCGCTCTGCAGCGGGAGGAGGAGGTGGGCCGCACAGAGTCCCTGAGCGAGCGGCAGAGGGACGAGCTGCAGATGGCTGTGGAGAAGCACCGCAGGCACGTCCTCAGACAGAGCCGGCAGTTTGACTCTCAGATCCTCCAGGAGCGCATGGAGCTCCTACAGCAGGCCCAGCAGGTAAGGCCCACACCCCCACAGCATAATGTCTCATGATCCTTCCTCTGAACCTGGTCTGAACTAAACCTCGATGAAAAAGATGCAGTATCCCTCTGTGTGCCTCTTGTGCCTTTTACCTGTGACAGAATGAGCTGTAGAATGAGTCTCCATTGTGATTACCTCACTCTCCTGCCCGCACTCGACTTTACTCCCATTAATTTCATTATTATCATATCTCCATATTAACTTACCATATGGTTTCTGTTGTAGGAGCTATTCTCTTTCTGTGTGTGATCTGTAAACATGAAGATAGGTTCAAGTTATTAAGTCCTGATCTTAACAATAACAATGTTGATGAGTTTGCAGCTCTGTGAATCTATTTTGCAGTTGACATGGAAGACTTCCTAAATTCCTAAAGACTATGACTGAAGCAGATACACATCCTCTAGAGTAGTGTTTCCCAACTGGGGGTACGCAGGAGACATTATTTTCAGAACTTGCAAGCACTGGTAGTGAGACGGTAATAGAGGCTACTATGGCATGTTACTTAACCACACCAATTATTCTATTCTAAACATAGAACCGAAAACACAATAATAATACATTCTATATCAGTGTGAAAAAAACATCCGTTCTTTCCTTTGGTCCAGTTTTGCTCAGAAAAAATGAAAACTGATCCAGAATAAGATTCCTTCCTGATATAATATAGTAAACAAAAGAAAACAATGGAGATATTGGGAAAACGGTAAAACCTTAAACAGGTGGTATACCAGGGTGTAGCCCTGTGTTCCCCATCACCAGGGTAAACAGAAAATTCATTCACATGCTCAGAAGTGCTCATTTGGTTGCAAATTTTTTTTAGGCCGCTGTTTTTTCTTTAGTGTGAGTTTACTTTGAACTGCTTTTTGGACGCGATTATCTAATTTTAATTTAAACGAATGATGCCGAATGTAGTTTACCTTTTATTTGACCTTAGATTTGTATGAACTAAGTGAGTAAAATGCTTAGACAAAAGCACAAAACTGGACCAAAAGGCTTGTTATTGTTCTCCAACTTGACCAACTGTGTCCTGCATTCAACGTTTAGAACAACATTTATGAAGTGATTGTTTTACTCAGAGAATTTGACTTAAAATGATGTACCGCTATCCATCGTAGCTCATATAAACCTCTTACTATCAATGTTAGTTTTGAAAATCATTTCAAGTACCGCCTGTAATACCGTAGGGGACCGTGTTCCCCCAGTTGGAAAACACTGCTCAAGAGTTGATTGTATTAATGCTCTGAACTCTTCCCTTTCACTATTTTGTTCACTGAAGTGTTTCTCTTTCTTCTTTGCAGCGTATTAGAGAGTTGGAAGACAGGATTGACTTGCAAAAGAGACTAATAAAAGACATAGAGGAAAAGGTAGTTTTAAGACCTTGAGTATGAATACAAACAGCAACGTATTATCTTTGAGCAGGTTTTTATATTAACTCTGTCTCTCTTTTCTCTCCTTTTACTCATTGAAACAACTCCTTGTTTCTTTAGTTTTTGTTCCTATTTCTATTTTTCTCTTTAGCGTTCATACTTTGGCCTTAACAAGATTGTACAAGAGGGGCCAAGATCAGGTTTGAACTGTCCTTTTACAGTAGAAGTATCATTATCAGAAAAAAACCTAAATGATGTTTGTTCTTATTTGTGTAGGTTTTGAAGAACTCTCAAAACACAAGGACAAAATACCAGTTTTTATGCCTTTGTTGAATCTTGAAAACCCAATGGCCTTTCCGATACATGTGAAATTGAGATTTTATAAATACATCTTTTTATGAACTACTAGGAAATATGTAGGGTTTTTATATACAGCTATTGAATGAATAGACTTTGGTAAAAAAATAAATAAATATGTGAATCAGTGGATAGTAATAACATAGACAAACCACTGCCACTATTACACAGCGAGAGAATAGACCAGTGAAAGTGAAGGACAGAGCCAAAATGAGAGTTGTCGACTGGATCAGGAGGAATTTGGCAAAACGCCTGCAGTGTTTCTAAGGATACACAGACCACACAGACCACCAATGCTCGGGGAAAAGGCTACTCACTCTTAAAAAGCAAGGAAAAACTCTGAAACTGCACAGAATGGTAAGAGCACATATATGTACATACTTCCTTGTGTATGGTTGTATAGCTGTGTGAGAAAGTGGCTATTTGGGGGGAATAAGCAAAAGCAACTCTGTCTTACATATTAAATTGGTGAAACGCAGTACTGTAGGAGGTCGGAAAAGAGAGAGATGATTAGGAGGCGTGGAAACCTGAGATATGTCAAGCTGTTGACGTGGTTAATAATAGATGATTACATTTTCTTCACTTTTTAGCTTGTGCCATTTGCAGCCGTGTAATTGCTTAACGCCATATTATTCTTCCCTTTTTGCAGAGTGTTCACTGTAAACGATCAGGCTGTTTCACGATCGAATGACTGAGCCAGACCTGATGAATTCTTTTGTTTCATTGATGGAGGAGAGGATAGGAGCTAATCCAGGCTCTTGAGTCCAGACCGGAGAGCCGGCTTCACGGAGAGACCTTTCTCTGACAAACGGGTGAGTGAGTTGGCTGCAGAGGATCTAGTGACACTCCTACTGCTGCTACCGTATCCTCACTTTTGGCCCAGGTGGTGTCACGTAACCCACACACCTCGCACAGGTGCTCTCTCCGCTCTGAACCAGTCCACATGTCTCCTGCAGAGCTCGGCTACAAAAGGCTATTCTACACGCATGCGTATTTTTTGTTTTCGTTGTGAGTGGTGTTTTAGACGAGAATTTGAATTTTAATTGTTTTTTGTGCATTCTTCTGTTTTCATTCATATATATTTACTTTGTTTGTGTGTGTGTGTGTGTTTAAGGACCAGGCAGTTGTAGCAGTTGCAACCTCTGCTTCAGCTCCAGCAGCTCGTGGTTACATCTCCCCACTATGCAGCACTCACAGAGACTGGACCAAAAGCTTCACGTTCTCAGGGAGGAGGTCAGGACCATGGTATGAACTTTACATCCTGTGTGAAATTGCACATTTATTTTTTAATTCATAGAAAAGAGGGGAGGTTTATCAGGTGTTCAGATCTATCCGTGCCATTGTTTTCTTATGTACAGACCAGTTGTAAACTAAATGTTGTAATGTATTTTGGATTAACTCAAACACAGAGATACTTTTTACAATGAATACAATACAAAACCATAGACCGTGTATTTTAGAGTGGACTGACCGAGTGCTGATGTCACCATAATGTTTGCCAAACGTGGAAGAAGCTGATTTGAACAAAAGCTAGAAATAGCCAAATTCCTTGTATGAGCGTTTGTTCTGACGGCATTAGCTTTGGGGTATAACAGGGGCAGGAAATTGATTTCTTATATTCTCGGGCAGACCTGTTGCTTGGATGGTTGCTAAGGCACCTTGAGTTTCCCCTGCGAAGGAAGGCATCTGTCTGTTTAGTTCATCCTTATATAGCTCCTAAAACACAAAATGTGGTCATTCTGCAGTCATTTAGATCTTATTCCCATACAACAGCTTTACACAATGACTATGGTTGATCTTTCTCTGTTATAATTGGAGTAAATGAGTAATCAAAAACCAAAACGACAGGGCCCCAGCTTCACAAACCATGTGTGTGTAAGCACACATGTGTGCGTGTGTGTGTCTGTGTGCACACTCCAAAGGTTTCTCAGACAGACAGAATTTCTTATTAATTATTATTAATAATTATTATTTGTTTAATTATAATTTCTCATACAGAAAAGGAGTTGCTGTAGTTAGATTCTCACTTGTAATTAATGTTCTTGTTTGCTTGTCCCATTGGACACTCTTTTTCTAAGAGTCCAAACTTACATCCAGTGTGGATCTTATAATGTTCTGTACATCAGCAATCCATGTTTGGAAATATATATATTCTGGTGTAGGTGTTTGCCTCTCAGCCATGCTCCCTGCTCCAGAGATTCTACACCGGAAACATAATATAAATGAATAAATATGAATGCATTGCTTTTCTTCTGTCTTGTTCTAGAGTCGAGAGAAAGAGCAGGTGGAGAAGGTTTGGAGGGAGCGGCTGCAGCGCTGTCAAAGGCAGTTACAGGTGAAAGAAGATGAAATGATCCGTCAGTCGCAGTACTTCGAGAGCTTCAAGAGCCAACTCCAATATAAACTCGCACAGGGCCGGGACAGGGAGGCGGCGCTGCAAAACCGAATCTACACTTTAGAGAAGCAACTCCTGGATATGACGGTGACCGCGGCCACCGGGTTAGCCACGATGGGACCAGTGCGCATAACTGCTGGTTCTGTTACGAACTGGGAGGTTCAGGACAAGCTGCCTCCACTGAGAGGCGAGGGGGAGGGAGAGGAGGAGAAGAAAGAAGATCGCAAGAAGCAATGGCCTAAAAATTTGGAAGTGGAACGGGACAAGGACTCGGATCAGAGCAGGCTGCAGGGCTTCATTCTGAGTCTGCAGGAGGACCTCAGGGTGCTGCTGGAGCGCGAGGAGCAGGTCATGACCGAACAGAGGGCACTGATGGAGCAGCTGCACGAGGCCCAGGAGAGCAGCCATTTTCTGGGCTGCAAAGTGGAAGAGATGAAGTCTGAAGTGGAATACGTAAATCTGTCCAAGGTCTCGCTCGACGAGGAAGTGGAGGAGTTACGAGAGGAGAACCAAAGACTACAGCAAATCCTTAGAGAGGCGGAGGACCTGCCAAACGCTGATGTGTGCACTCAGAAGGTGCGTGGCGTATTCTATGAAGGAATGAGAGGGATTGAGTTTATGTGACACAGAGCAGAGTGAAAGAGATATGATAACATAAGATTCAAAATGGTTGAGTTTTGCATGTCTTTTTTTTTTTTGGCAAAACACAAGCAAAACTAGTATAGAAACTTGCACAGGCATTCGCATAGAAGTTTACTTTACTAGCAGTCTCCAACCTGTAGCTCACCACCCGATTCCAAGTACTGTAGTTCCCCAAAGGTTAAAAAATAATGAATTATCATAATGAATAACGTTGATGATGATGATGATGATAATATCACACATAATCGTCGGACAATTTGAAATGGTATGACTCATATCCTAAAACCATTTTAAATCCATTTTTCTTTGGTGCAATAAGACATGGATAATGGATTAGAATGGTTTTCTGTTTTATGGCTATGTAATAGTACCCCATCTTTGGCTGCTATTTCAATACTTTATTGATCCAATTTTTTACCAGCTCCTGAGAACAAGGTTAAAAACCCCAGTGCTGTACTAAAAGTATGAAGTAATATGTTCAATATTTCAATGAGGTGTGTGTAAATGTATTTTAGTCTCTAGCCCCAATATCCACATACTGTCTCATTGTCCACCACTTTTTTATGTTGCAATTTATTTTAATCACTATCGTTCACCATAAATATTTTTTCAAATTTTCAATAAGATCCAATGAACATCTCTCCATGATATGTATATTGGTGTGAAGTGTGGAAATAGTTTGTCTATATCATGCCCTCTGTTTTTGTTTTTAGGCGGACATCAGTGATGAACAACCTGCTGTAGTTGCACCACATCACCACCAGGCTGAAGCAGAGCCATCCCAAACAGACCCAGTGGAGTCGTCCTCAGCTGCCAAATCTGAACCCTCATTTATAACAGTGAACGAACCACAAACTGCATTCGACAGCTCTGAATCCAAGTCCAACGCAGGCTTCCATTCGCTCGCACTGACCACAGAGACAATAGACGAACTGAGGATGGGAGCGTGGTGCTACAACGGCGTTTTGAACTTGGAGGAGAGCCCCGGGGAGGACTCGGATGCCCTGAGGGAAGCCTACCACAGCTTGGGCCTCGGAGGCGATCTCGACTTTATAAAAGAACAGCGCGATCGCTTTGAGGAGGCCCTGCAGCAAACACACCAGCAGCTGAAGATGGCTGTGCTGGAAAACCAAACTTTGAGATCACAAATGAAACAGCAGGAAGAGGAAGCGGAAGAATCAAGGGAGGATTCTTCAAACGCTTTAGATGACAGTGCTAGGTTCAGTATCGGGTCAGACGATCTAGTCCAGGCTTTGAATGAAGAGAACAGAGCTTTAGCAGAGAGGATACAGGAGCTTAGAGAGCATATTGAACTCAGGGAGGAGGGAATCATGAAGGACAAGAGGGAAGTTGAGGAGCAAATCTGTAGATTGGAAATAGACGGAGCGAGACAGCAACAAGAAATCAATGAACAAGCCTGTTTGGTGACAGAGCTGACCAGAAAGACAGAAGACGACTTGAACACCATCATGGAACTGAGGCAAAAGTTGCAGGAGCATGAGGAGCTGAGAAAGGAGACGAGACGGAAAAAGCTGTTTGGGTTTCAATCCAAACACACACAGACTGTTTTTAGGAAAGACAACATAGACGAATGCGTTGACATAGTGGTCAACTGTGTCATTGAAAGTGATGCAGAGCCCCAGTTTCTGTCAAAGCAAGAGAATTTAAAAGATGTGTCACAGGTAAAAGTCAAGTCTTCTGACAATCCTGAAGTGAGTTTGATGAATGAAGAGGTAGACCGGTTATCAAAGCTGGTGCAAAGTCTTAAAGCAGAGCACGAGGACCTCACAGGGAGAATGAAAAGCCAAACGCTGCAGCAGAAGGATGTATCTCAGTCGATTCGTACGCAGACAGAAGAGAAGCAACGTTTGACCCGGGAAGTCTGGGGACTGAAGGAGGAGAAAGATCGTATTTTTAAATCCTTGTCCGGGCTGAAACAGGAGCGTGACATGCTGGCAAGAGCGGTGTGTGGCTTCAAAGATGAAAAACAGCAATTTCAGAGATCCATGACAGGTCTCCATCAACAAAAAGAGCAACTTTCCCAAGCTTTGCCTACGCTTAAACAGGAGAAAGAAGGCATTTTGGAATCGATTACAAGTGGGATCCAAGAAAGGGACAAACTCATGCAATCGATAAAAGCGTTGCAAAAGGAAAGTCAACAGTTAAACCAAGCGGTGATGAAGTTAAAAATGACAAAAGATGAACTCTCAGGTGAGCTGAAAAGTTTGGAAGACGCCAGAGATCAGCAACATCTGTATAATAACCTGGAAGCGGAACGGGCCGAGCTGCAACAGTCTGTGTCAAGTTTGAAGGAAGAGGAGAGGAGAATTACCTTTTCAGTGTCTCGCTTAAAACAAGAGGAGAATCAGATGGTTATTTTAAAGCAACAGTTGCATGAAGAACACAGCAGACTCCAAGCTACGATCCCGAGGCAAACGAAAACCTGCGATACGCCACAACAAGCCAATTACGAAGAGCAACATGATGATCAAAGGGACTTGGAGGTGTGGATTAGTCTGCACCATAAAGTCATTTTTAAGTAATACATATTGTGTGATTTTTTTTTGGGGTTTCTTTTTTCACCACAGGATCAAGAGGATTTGCAGATCCGCATTCAAACATTGTCAGCAGAACTCCAAAAAACACAGGCTGATTTGGAAGAGACTACAGCAGAGGTAAAATGATTTATTTAAAATCTGCACAATACCATTTTTCATTTAATATCATACTCACCAGTGTTGGGCAAAATACTTCAAAAACCTGATATATTTTATAATACTTGTTCCTGTTATTTCAAAGTAATGTGTTACTCTGCAATATTTTTGTCTCTGAATTACTGCTGCTGCATTACTTTTAAGTTACTTACACTTAGCTTATAATGCTATTGCGAGACGTTGATAGAGCTTTTGTTTCGGCAGGTAAAGTGTGCTTATCTGTTATGTTTTGCACATCTTTGTCTCTTTGTAATCTTTGTAGTATAAAAAACAAAACAGTTTATTATTATCCTTTTTATTGGAATGCCTTACATTACCACAATACAGCAAAAAGTCATACTTTGCAGTAATTACTTTACTTATGTGCCGCAATACTCCCAAGACTGTTCATGGTTTGAAAAATGGGTTGAATTAAGAAGATACACGTATTCTCATCCTCTCTCCCATTCACGACAAAACAACACAAACACATTATCACGATCAAAATAATGTATTACAATATAGTATGTAATATGTACTCTATGTTAGCTTGGGTAACAGTGCATGTACTTTTGAACCATGCAATATACAATCATATAACTCACATGCATGTACAGTATTTTTGCCTTTGCTACATCTTAAGATTTTTCAGGCAGAAAATTGAAAAATAGAGGACAACCCTCACGCAGACAATCAGCTCTCAGCCCAAAGAGTCCAATCGTGTCATGTTTTCTAATAAGATGAAGAGAGCAAGTTATATCAGATCTTATTCTGCAGAGACAAAGAACATGCATTATTTACGTAAAAAGCGTGTTCCAGCTTTTATGTTTCACCTTTTTAATTGGGATGTATGAGGTAATTGTTTTTAAAATATATGTGTTCCTCGATGCAGGGGCAAAGACTGCAAAGCGAACTGGTCCAGTCTGAAAGCAGAGGGGACGAGGTGGAGAGGAGAACATCTCATTTAGCCAAAATGCTTTTCAAAGTCTCTGATGAATCGTCTCAGCTCCAGGAGACGAGGAAGGAGTGTGACGCTCTGAAGGCGCATGTGAACACATCCTCAACACACTGTCTTCCTCTGCTTATACTTTCATAATCACACTGTAATGTTCTCATTGATGCAGGTGAAGGATTTGCAGAACAAAGCAACACTTGTGGTCAGAGAGAAAACGGAAGCGCTGGTTCTAAAGGCTCGACTGGAGGAACAGTACAACATCCTGACTGCGCAGCTCAAAGCTAAGGTAAGAATCTGCTCTAAACATCTGCCAGATTTATTGCAGTCGAAATCGCTCTGCAGTTTTAGTTGTCATTGTTATTACATCTCTAAAGGCTGCATTTATTTTGAAACATTACCACTGCACAAACATAATTTAAGAAGTGTTCGGGGTTTGTCTTTTTTGAAGATTTGACAGTGGAGTATGTGTAGCTTCATTTACTTCAGCACAGTAGAATTGCTCTGCAGACATCCAATGTTTTTTTTTCATTGGCACTACACTGCAGTAAATCAAATGTTCAGCTTTTTGCATCCTGAAGAAGGCCAAGCTCGGCTGAAACGCGCTGGTGCGTATTTTAAATTTACAGCCATGAGAAAATAAAAGCTTTTTAAACTCTCTAAACTACGGACCACGAGTGCCTTGGACTTTATTGATTTTCTAAGATCTTCATAATTTGCCTTTATCTGGAAAGTCAAAACTCAATTTTCTGTTACTAAAAGTACCTAGTCAATGTTCAGTCATTTTTTTATATTTTTTAAATCTTGTTTGTCTGAAAACATTATTTGCCAATGAGACAGGAAAAAATATCTTATCTCATGGGAGTTGTCTCTTATCATTTGTTTGATTGTTGCTTGTCCTATTTGCAAATCTTGTTTTAAGATTGTTTTAAGATCAGGTCTTAAACTCAATTTAGCTGGGGGTTGCATGACGTTGATTCTGGGTGAGGCTTGGCTGCATTCAGGGGTATATTTATACCTCTGAATATTTTAAATATTTTAATATGTTTTGTGTGTGTGCAAAGTATATGAATATTGGATCAAACTGATCTAAGCCCATGCAATTATAGAAATCGTTGAAAGTATATCCTCAATTGACTTACTGACCTACTTTGGGCGTGGCTACACACCAGTACACAATGACAATAAATGGCTCTCTGCTCACACACCTGTATAGACACATGCAGGACAAACTGAACCTATGTCTCTTCGTTAATGTATTCCTCTGTTATTCTAGTATTACGCGATGGCTGTGCCAACAGAAATAAATAACTAAATCTAAATCAAGGTTCTGTTTACTCAACTGCACCTGCAATTTAGCTCCTGGAATGATTAATATGCCCTTGTTTTTCAAACTGTTCCATTTTCTCATTCTTTAAAAATAACAGTAGGAAAGTGAACATTTGTACCTTTCGAACAAAGAGAGAGTCAAAAACAAGGGAAACCGGAATCAAGCGTTTGTGGAAATTTGTATATCTCATCATTTGCATCATGATGGTATTTTGCCAAAATAGTGGCATTGAGTTTGTAGAGTCTCTGAGGCCACATACTCCCACTGAAGTTGTGCAAGACACTGAAAGATCAAGAGCAGCCATTCTCCTGTGGACTCACAACCTGCAGTGAGGGGCAGGTGCTCTGGGATATGAGTGGCAGCTCTATTTGCCACCCCCCGACCCAGAAATCGATTAAGGCCATGAAATATTCAATGCTACATATTGAGAAGCTAATTCCAATGTCCAAAATGCATATAGAGATATCCTTTTCTGTGTACCGGTAATCAAACAGACAAATGCTTGTTGTCATTCTGCATTTTGAGTTGCCTTGTGTATGAACTGTGCTATACATGCCATGTCTTGTCACTGTTTAACACATAGTTTCTGTTGCTTCCTGCAGACTGTGGCTCTCCAGGAGCTGAACTCGGAGTACATCAGTTTGAAGCGAGGCCAGGCCAACAAAGAGGATCTTAACACCGTTCTAGTCTCCGTACAAACCCGTTACCATGACGTCAGAGCCAAGGTGAGCCTCTGCTGATGTTAAAGAATGTCTTCTTTTGTGACTTTTAACATTAACAATACTTTGTATGCAGTATGATGCTTTACTACATTCCAAAAGTCAGGCTGATATGGATGTAGCGCCTCTAAAGGTACGAACAAAACACTGCACTAACAGCTACAGCCTGTACGAATGCACACTTCTTCTGTTACTCTGTAAAGTACATATGGCCTATTGCAATCATTCTTTTTTTGTATATGATTGTCTTTATTTGCATAATTTTAAGGTCTGACAACTCATGGAAGATGGCAAGGACAATTCAAAACAAGAAAAAAAGATGCCCCAACTACAGCCAATAATAATAATAATGTTCTCTGCAACCAACAAAAATCATACAGGCATCAGTCAATTATTCATGTGACATAATAACTGATATCAAACATTTAATTCAATGATTACATTCAATGTTACTGGGATACATTATTAATATGGATACAAACGCATTCAAAAAGATACTAATGTGATACAATGTAATGTGTTTTTTAACCATTGTATGGTGTTCGGGTCTGTGGAACCCGTTTATTAAAAGAAAAATGATACAATTAATTATTTTTTCTAACTGAGACTCACATATATCAGAATTCATATTTAATGGCCACACACCATACACCCCCCCTACACATTTCTATTACATATAAGATGTTTGGGTCCACTGGACCCGGGGCAAATAGAAGTGTCGAAGTTGACAAGAATGTGGTACTCAATGAGTACACTGCATGGGGATGGAAGAATGTGTAACCAGGAACATCACAAACCAGAGATCATCATGACAACATGGACAAGTATTAACCATGTATATTGTTTATACTGCTTGTAATTGGGATAAGGTAATCATCTGCTCAGTATTTTAACATAAATGTGTGATTGTGATGCACTAAAATCCACAAAATGCAACGAGTCCATTAGACCCACGAACACTGGCTGAGTAACAACAATATGAACACTACACAAGGGTTAATACAATGTTTGTGCTCGTCTTTGGGAAGTCTAATGACATACTGACTTTTTTGAGGCACCTTGAAACATTTACAAGTAGTCCACTATAGATACATTCAACAGTAAAACGGCAAATTGGCCCAGGTTCAATTTAAAATTTTTATACAAATTCTTCTCTCCTTTATTTTTTGATTACTGCAATGTCAGTATATTTGTTGTATTCTACTGTTGTTAAGAATAAGAGATCTTTTATTCGTCCCACAGTGGGGAAATGTCTGTTGCATCATACGTTATAGACAGTAGGAATGAGGAGAACACAACACAAGATAAATGAATAATAACTCTATATTAAAATAAAATATTACCTTTAACTCTAGCATGCAAAGAAGCTATATATAATCTTGTTTTTTGTTTTGTGTTTTTTTGTTTAGGCCAAGCTGTCGTGCTTGGTGCTGAAATGTCAGGAGAGGAACAACATTTTGGTTCAAATGACAAAACTCCTGCAGAAACACGGCGGCCTGGACTACATCCTCAAGCAGCAAGTGGAACAGTTGCTGTCAGACCCGGCTCTCCACAGCTACGCCTCCGCTTTCCCCACCGCCTTCACCCCAGAAATAAGAGTCACATTTGAGGAAACCAAACGGCTCACTCAAGATCAGCGCAGTTCCCCGATAAGCACAGTCAGTCCTCACCATAACAGGTACGGGGGCAGTCCAAGTCCAAGCAGCTTTGCAAATTCGCCCAGAGACTGCATAAGTAAGGCGAGCCATGAGTCTGGTTCAAGACACAAAGCCTCCTCCCCAAGGTACATTTCTCCACTGCCAGAGCATAGAGAAGAGGGGTCTGCTGTCAAAGATAACACTCAGGTAAATATTATGAAGTGGCGTCACCGGCACATGAAAGCAATGTGTTTTTAAGATGTACTTCTTGAACCGGTTTTATATGTACCAAAACAATATTATTTCAAGAATATAATCGCAATGTCCAAAAAAAAACACAGTAAGATATTTCCTTTTCATTGTACCGGTAATCAAACAAACAAATGGGCCTGGTTTATAATAATGCATCTGTTTGATATTATATTTTTGGACAGTCAAAGACGCTTCACATGGTTTATTCCTACACTCCATACCAGATTTGTTGCCTCTCTTCTGTCAGTCTATGCCAAGGCAGTTGTGGCTACAGTATTAGTTTGTGTTATTGTGGTCCAAGGAGGGACAGAGGAATGATCATATGAGGCTGTGGTGGTATGTGGATGATGATGATATTTTTATTTGGGTGTGCCCTACTTTCTTGTTTTGGGGATGGTTCCACTTGCATTTTGAAGATGTTTTTGGTGTGAGGTACCTAATATTTACCACCATTGTGTACGAATAATGTAATGTGAAGTGTCATTAAGCACTAAATGAATATGCCTTTTTATTATATACGATTCTACTATTCACTTTTTTAGTTAATTGGCCATACTTGGATGCAAAAGCCAGAACCCATCAGACGTCTAAAGCTGTGCAAGGCAGGGCCTGCATAGTACTGTGATGGGAGACCTCTGGGAACACCAAGGGCCACAGTGGGGCACAACTTGATCCATATGCTGCTTAGAATGAGTGGTGTGTGTGTGTGAGTGGTTGGTGGTGGTCGTCAGAGGGGTAGATGGCACATACCGGTTGCATCTCTTTTGTCAGGGTGCTCCACGGCAGCTGTGGCTATTGTAGTGGTTTATCACCACTGTGTATGGAGAGAAAGAATAATGACATGTGAAGCATGTTTGAGTGTCCAAAACAGTGCTATACAAAACCAATGCATTATTCTCATTATTTATATTATTATTATTATTATTAATGTATGTATTGTCTACATTAATAATCTCTGCTATAGCTTCTTCTATCTCCTACAAACCAAAGAAGACAACAACTCTATAATGCTAGTACCTTGGTGGAAAAGAAAGCTCTTTCACCAAATGCAGTCTCACCCATTCAACAAAAGAGAGAAATGCTGGGCTCCACATCCCCGGCGGCATCACAGAAAAACAATTCAAATTCAACAGTGGTGCAGGTGATTATAACAAAAGAATGTGCATATATCATCACATTTGAATGATTGTAAACATGCTCTTGAGACAGGCCTCCTCTCTGACAATGTTTAAAACCAGGTTAAAGACAGTTCTGTTTAACTGTGCATACAACTGAGGGAATTTATATTTTTATCTTTCTTTTTAATGTTCTGTGATAATTTATGATTTTAATGCTTTCTTGTTTTGTTCAGCACTTTGAATTGCCTTGTGTATGAATTGTGCTATATAAATAAACTTGCCTTGCCTTGCCTCTTCCTTGTATCTGCAGCATCACTTTCCCCCAAGATCTCGCAGAGGATTCGGGCAGAAGGCCATCGGATTTCATCAGTTAAACATGAAAGCCAAGTCCTCCCCAGACCTGAGCCGGTCTGAGTACAGCGGCTTCTGCTCCAGCACCGGCTCTTCCTCCTCCCTCATCTTTGGTTCCAACACCAGGCTGAGCAGTCCAGAAAAGATCATGAGCCTCCAGGAGCAACTGCAGAAGACTTTAATCAGCAGCTTCCAGGTACATGCCTATCTGAAGATGTACGACACGATACCATAAACATCTAGATAGAGGGTACTTTAAAATCGATGCAATGAACTTCTAAACGACACAAAGCTATTACTAGGCTTGTGGACCCTTCTCTAACAAAAACACAACACTATTGATGCATTTGTATTTCATTTATTGAAGATGAATTGTTATTTAAGACAAAATATTGATGCATATTATGTATTACATTATATATATCTTTTAGATCCGATAATAAAAAACTTTTAGAAAAAATCTAAACAGAAAATCTTAGTCAATTGAGTTTATACTATAGTCCTGAATCACAACAGTAGTTATCTCTGAAGACTTTACGAAACTGTCAAATTTTTATTGATATTGACATTTCCAGATTATTTGTGTTGCATGTAATCCTGGTAATTCATGCTCCCTTCTTCCTCCTCTGCGTCTTTAGGCTCCAGCCGCTGGAGGAAGAGGAGCCCAGCCTAGAAAATCTCTGTCGTTCTCAGCTTTAGCCTTCCCTACAACCTCACAGAGGCTGAAATCAAACAACTCAACTGCCAATATCACATCACCGCCATCAAATAATACGCTTTTTAATGCGGTTGTCTCTAGATCCGCTACTGTAACTTTCAGTCCAGTAGCCCAGACATTCAAACAATCCAAAATCTCCCACGTGTCTCAGAGAACAGTTTTACAAATGCCGAACATTGGTGCTGTTAAACCTGCAACGCAAACGAGTCGACCTACTGTTGACTCCCACGGAAAAGAACTTAAATCTTCAAAGCAAAACAACACCACAATTGCAAATATCTCGACTACTGCAGACCACGATGCGTCGAACTCTCCTGAGAGCTCTCCTGAAGGCCCGAGCAGGAGCACTAGTTTTAACGCCATTTCTCAAACGGAAGGTCCTGTATCTCCGCCTCCTACCTCCACCTTTGCCAAAAAGTCTCCCAGCTGTGCAGAGAAAGCCAGAACTCCAACCAGAATAAAGCAAGGTAATTCCCATGTAAATAAGACGTTATTATTATAATAAGTGGTTTTCAAATAGTCGCGGTGCACACATGTAATGGGGAGGCTGATGGAGTTTCATTATTCAGCTTAAGTGAAGCATAAATGCAGTTTTAATTGCATAAAACTGTAAAAGTGGCTGGAATTCTATTAGGATGATGTAAAATTGTTCTTTAAAAAGCAACCGATTCATTAAAATGTTGCTTTTAAGAAAAACGCCTGGCATTAAACTTGGACTTATTGTGAGCCCAGTTGAGAATCACTAATGTAAAAAGTATTAAGTTCTTTGTTTTGTTCATTGGGTCCTTCATTTTTGGAGTGAGTTGGAAATTGTTTGTGCGTATAATTTAAGTTAATAAAGCAGCCCACACATGGAGCTTTTAGCATTGCTTTTTAATGCATAAATTGTTATACACCCACTAAAATCGATCAGGGGCTGCTAAAGATGCATATATTTAGCCGTTAACACAATCATTAACTGGCTTTTATTGTGCTGGCTGTTTCCGGGGCCACTTAGAGGGAAACGAATCGGTACAATTTAACTGTAAACCAGCTTGGAGACTTCAAATGAATTGAGTGTGTGTGTGTGATTGTGTGTGTGCGTGTGTGTGTGTGTGTGTGTGTGTGTGTGTGTGTGTGTGTGCAGAAGCTCCTGCCGAGGTGCGATCCATGGAGGTCATTAAAACAGTGGGTGTGAGTGGACTTATGATCGGCTGGGAGAGGCCTCCACTGGACGAGCTGGGCTGCAGCAACGGCACCTTTGTTTATGGGTACAGGGTGAGCTGCGCAGCCACACGTTAAGCTGTAACATCCACTTCCATCACTCACAAGACCTTTGATTTTTTTAAATATTGTTTTACACGTCAAAGCAAAGGGCCTTCCAATTTTCTTTATTTTATTTTCCTGACGCAACAGGATTAAAGTTGAGGTCAGAAAGTCCCGATATCATCTGATTGATCTCATAATATTTCAAGTTTAATCTCATAATACTATGAGAATAAACAAATTATAAGAAACACCCCCCTTTCTCGTGGCATATACACTCACCGTAAGATTGGCTGCAAGAACATTAGAACATTTGAGTTTGTTTTGTCAAATGGAAGCTATGGTGGTGAGGTTTGGCAGGTTGATCCTTCAAAAAAAAAATTTTTCTCAATTTTAAACTTTCAATCCATCTCATTCAATTTGTTTTTGATCTTCATACACCACTAACTTTACAGCATACGGTTGGTGCACCTTCATATACTGTACAGGGACAAGAGGTTTTTCAAAAGTCTAGTAACTTCTGGACTGTGAAACTAGTGTGAAACTAATGTAGAATTCAGACATATCAAGCCTTTTATTCAATATATATATATATTGGCTTACAGCTTGTAAAAGTCCCCCAAATTCCACCTCATGGCTTTTCTGCATGTTCTTCCTGTGCATAAGGCTTCCTCTGGTGCTTTTACCGCTAAAAACATGTGGAATGGGTATGAATGTTCTAAGTGAGTGGATGGTAATGGTTTCCAGTTCTTCTGCGTTTTGCTTCTGACATCACTGTGTGTGTTTTATGATCTTGGTCTGTGAAATGCACTGTATAAATAAAAACTTCTTCCTTACAGAAATAAATTCAGTTTTGAACAATTTTCTTAGGTTCAGAGTTTCACCTGTAATTATACCGTATTTAGACAATTCAATCTGGAGAGTTGAACACACAAAACAGGGTTAGAATTGCATATTGGTTGGTAAGTAATCTGACACTACATAAATTACACATGACTCTGAGGACCATATTTTCAAGATCACATTTATTGTTGCTGGACTGAAATGTGGTTAAGATTTGGCGCTTAGATCCCGGCAGAGGGGAAAGAGATTATGAGATGAAACCCCTCAGGGCCTAGACCCTGGTGGTGGTAGCTTAGGAGAAGGATGAAAGAGCTGGCCTGGAACGAGGCGGAGCTGGTGAGGAGGAGGGTTGCGGTGTGAATGAAGCTGCTGCTTGGATGGAGCTTCTGTGTGATATGAAGCTAATGCGGGGCAGAGCTAATTGCTGCAGGTGAGGATTTGCTGCAGCTGAGTTTGATGGACAGATGCTGTTGCCGTTAGCGACAGTGGGGGGACTTTGAGCGCTGTGATCTTAGTTAATTCTGTCTTCCATTTGAATATCCGTTGTAACTTCATATGACATGTTCCCTCAGGTGCTTGTTGACGGAGTGTTTCACAAGTCTGTCATGAGCTCAGCCTGCACCAAGGTAGTCAATATTGTTTTCTTGTTAGTTTTTTTGTGCAAATAACCAACTACTAATTTGTTGTCCGCAGTGTATACTTGAGAACGTGAACCTGAGCGTTCCCATTCAAATCAGCGTCCAAACCCTGGGATCCAATGGTCTCAGCTCTAACTGTATCCATATAATGTACGTCCAAGAAACCTGACAGCAAAACCTCACACCTTTTAGTGGTAAGACTTTTACAGCTTTTTATGTAGTGACATTTTTTTCATATTCAACCTTGTGACTAGGGGTGTGACGATATATCGATTTTTTGAGATACTTTCTCCCGCGATTCGATTATCGATATGCATTTGCCAAGTATCGATATCCATCCATCCATCCATTTTCTACCCTTTAATCCATTTCTGGGTCAGGGGGGTGACAGTCAGAGATGCCACCCAAGTCTCATAGCACCAGCCCCGTATCGATATCGATTTTGAAAAAAAAATATATATATATATTTTTTTTTTTTACATTTTTTTTTTAAATTGGTATCAATACTTAATATATGGCTACATTACGCATCTCCATTCTATTTGTCATGAAATAAAGAGTATTTTTTCTTTTATTTATGCCATAAATTGGCGTATTGTATATTTCTAACCAATATATCAATAATCGTCATATCGTGATAAAATTGTTATCGTGATATTGTTATCGTGAGCTTTGTATCGTGTATTGTATCGTATCGTGAGGTACCCTTAGGTTCCCACCCTTACTTGTGACCCAATGGTTCTATGAGTGGTCAGCATGGCTGCTTTATAAAACTGTCTGTAGTGATTTGTGTGACCTTGGTCTGTCAAATGTGCTATACAATTAACTTGACTTTACACAGTGGTGTTTTCTGTGCTGAGGAATTCTGGAGGACTGTAGACACAAGCCATGATCAAAAGTTGCTTTTAGAGCCGCTGGGTCACAAAAAATAAAAATACATTATTTATACTTTAACTGGATACTTCAAATACTTTATTACAATATTTTAAGATTTTATTTCACCTAAAATACATGTAAGCATTTTAAATATATGGCTTCTTTTTAATGCTTTTTGTGTGTGCTGTGTCCTGCTTTTTTCTCTGCCCTGTATTGTTCAGCCATCTATAGCTGCAGCTCTCTGTGGGATTTTATAACCTCCATCAAGAACAAGTGCGACACCGTCACGCCGCAGGGACTCGCCTTCTTTAAGGGCATCAGGACATAAAATGAACACATATTGTCAACTTTTGCCCAGTGATCACGGTCGGGCTGCGGTTCCAATCAGAGCAACATCCTGCGTCACACAATGGCTTTATCTGGAGATGGCATTCCTCTTTTGGACAATACATCTTTGTCGGCTGCCACGAAATGGACTTTGTCATACAATGAGGCCAAGAACACTTTTTGAAGATGTCTTTATTGTAAATATATAAAATCTCAAAATACCAGAGCGATGTCGACTACTGCAAGGTTACACTGTGTTCAAAGAGACTGATTTTGTATTTACCTATTGTCAGAGAATGTGGCTGAAAATGTGAAGAACAAGAAAGCTGTACCATCATACTTAGTTCATGCATTTCAAGCCAAATATGAGAAAATTCTCCAAAGACATAATTTCCTTTTTTATCCCATATGGATTTGCACACAATCCTAAGAAACTAAATTATTGTTGCTATTTTGAGTATCATGTAGATGGAAAGACTATATGCCAATGGTGTACTTAATGCAGTACTTTTTTATAAATGTTATGCCTGTAAATATTATGCACACTCATATAATTTTATACACCAATTATAACTCATGTTATGCTAATTATTATGTATGTTTCTTGTTTAGGGCAAACATTTTGCCGTAAAACAATATTTTTCTATCAACAGCTATTTCAAATGAAGTTTAAGAGAATAAATCTTTTTATTATAAATTCTACGTGTGTGATTGGGGAATTTGTCATTACAGTAAAGAACACAGAAAATGTACATGAAAATGTACTAGTAATAGGGAAATGTATATATATAGTTATATTCTGTTTTGGTTGTTATAACAAGTTTCAACCACTAGATGACAGCCATTCGTTACAGCCAGTGGATCTAATGGTTGTGTTTTCAGCTGTCTGCCTTGCCTTCTTTCTAGACCAGAAGAGAAATGGTTTTCACCTAAGTAGGAGATCAACATGCCATTCAGTGTACACGCAGAGCAGTATCAGCTGACCTCTCCTCAGTCACGTGCTGCTGCGCTCTGCATCTTTTCTCTGTTCGCTGAGGACTTCATCAGTCGTGGTCAGCAGAAAGGTCCAGTCTCTCTGCAGGTCCAGGCAGAACAAGCTGCAGGCAAAATGAAAACATTCTCTCACCTTTGTTCTTTCAAATGTCCAGAACCTGCAGGCTGCCCATGTGTCACAGTCAATAGGGGACATGGCCTATAATGTGTTCTGGCGTGAAGACTTTTCCACAGTATAGACCTGTAGCACTTATTTAAAGCTGGGCTACCTAACATTGTTGTTTTATCAATGATACATTTGTTTGCCCCAATAGAGAGAGTTTTGTAAGGTGATCATTTGTATACAGATCTCCTTACAAAGCACAATAACTTTGCATACTTACATATAGAGCCATCTGAGTAACTGTTTACATGCACGTGAAAAAAATATTACATATTTGGATTTCCATTCTTCCTAAGATGTAAGGACATTGTTGTTCTCAAGGTTCTTATTAAGTATAAATTAGGTTTTAAGGATTCCTGACAGTGAACTGGTGTCCATATCTGTTTGATGTTGTCTTTTTAAGTTTTGACCATCCAACTCTGGTGATTCTTTTATATTATATACATTTGTTATGTGTATTGTACTGCAACAGTCTGTGTGTGTGTCTGTATTCAAGATTGCGATTTCTGGACGGATTTCAAGACAATCCATGATGTTGGTGGCGTATGCGCTCCACATGGCCATTTTATTATATTCATGTACATACCGTGGTGTACAAATATCTTTGGAATCATGCAGGTAACGTGCCACCGGCCAAAGTTACATGATAATCACATTGGCTTTCTTACAGAGTTCAAAATATAATGCATTAGAATTATGGTTATTGAGTTTGGTTTGTATGCTTGTTTCTGCCTGATTAGCCTGGAGCAGGCGGTATACAATGATTTTGTTGTTTGACATGACTTTTAAACCCAAGGATATTATGATTTATGCAGGAATATAGTTTGAAGATTAGGAAAGTGAAATGTTCCACTATTGATGTGGTCATGGGGCGGAGGCGGTTTGCTGCATGAGTTTATTCGCGGCAGGTGAAATCTTGATTAGCAGCAACTCTCATGCGCAACAATTACAACCTAACAGTAAGTAAATACAGACAAATTATATACATATTTACATCCACAAAACTGTTCATTACCCAAAAAATTGCAATATTATCAAAGTCTTATCTGCCATGGTGTTTGAACAGAAGACGTTATGCGGAAAAAAGTACACAACGCTTTATTGCGTCTTGTCTTTTTGATATAGTATGCCTGTCAGAGTCAAGTATTATATGAAAAATGGTTCTATCAGATTGCTGTACCATATAGGGGAGCCCCAGTTTTACAGCATTTCTATAAGCCTGACCAGTTGGACTCCAGTTACGCTCTCCTGGGATTGGCCGCCTTCATTATTAACACACACGTTCTCATGACACACTGCCCTGCTGGGCCCTGTTTACAGAAGATAATGGGCTCACTTACGTTTCTATGCTGCTTGTTAATGATGTGAGCTGTGATGAACATTATAGAACAGGTTCAGAGAGAAAATCCTGAAAGCAGGGGTACCTACCTAACCCTTACACCCCAAAATAAATAAATAAATACAATGTAATGTAATCCCTCTAATGAGTCCCTTTAGTTCTTTAGCCCCATTTCCACCAGCCCGACTTGGACCTACCCTACTCCACTCTACTTGGCTTTACTCTGTCTGGTTCTGTATTTATTATGCTTTAATATAGTATGGTATAGTATCCTAGCAACCGTCCCATAACAAACCACTATCCATGGAAATTCTGGAAACGAGACTGTTTAGTTCTGCGGCCACATGTTGTTTTACCAGTGAGATGAGCTAGATGTGATGAGTTCTGGCAACCCGGATCACAGACTTTCTGATTGGTAAAACAATGGAGGGCGTGATATCGAAATGAAAAAAATTGCAAGATTTACGGGCTGGAAAACTAATTTTGAAATCCAAATATCTCGGCTGAACTCCTGTTATCAGTCAAAGAAGTATTTGAAAAGAGCATGACATATTAGGGCCATTTAATGATGACTTGACATGAAAATCTTACATATTGTTACTCTAACAAAACAGTTGAAATCGACAACGCAGATCACATAATCAAACAGTTCAATCACAAAAAATATTGTTCTGTCAGTATTTTGTCCTCTGTCACATCTTTAAATTTTTTTTTTCAGACAGAAAAGTGAAAAAGAGAGGACCAGTTCTCCTTCTTTTATGTTCACGTTTTCTATGAATATGAAGAGCGCATGTTATGGTCTAAATGTTCCCAACATTTGACTTGAAAAACTCTTTCTCTTACTTAGTTAGGTAGCTTTGTGGGGAGAGATGTTTTATATGTCAAAATGCTTTATTACAAAACATTGTCTATTTGCTGCAACTTACAGTATAAATGTACAATTTGATAAATTCTTTATTAGTAAGGCTAACTCTAAAGCCACCTTAGGCTTTATTAGTTTATGTCTCTTTCAGAATGATAATGATAATGTATTAATCTCTGTTATCAATCAAACTGTAAGTTCAGAGTAGTAATTATAACCAATATAGGAACAGTAAAAAAGTAAAGTCGAGCTTGCCTCATATGATGTAAACTTACTGACCATCTGCAGTCATTCAGGTTTTATGTTTGGGGTCTGCTTTCAGGTCAGGCCAGGGGTCAGCTTTTTACATGTCATGGTTAAGGTTAGGTTAAATGGCCTGAGGATGCATTAAGCCGATGAGAAACACTGGTCTATTGTAAGAGCTGGTGACAGTGTGTGTGCATATCAGTGCTCCACAGGGGACAGTCTTCATTCAAAGGTCTGTCAGTGGAAAAGAGCCTGGAAATGACAGTTGTAGTCAGTTGTCATCAGTTGAGTGTCTTGAGGGGAGTTTTCTGTAAAAAGCCACAATAGAAAGCGGATACATAGAGTGAAGGCTTGGTGCGTGCGTTGGGTCTTTCATTTCAGCCTGAAGGGACGTTGTCAATTTGTCACTGACTTTACCCAAGTCTGGAGTCAACTTCCACACCTTCAGGGAGACACTTGTTGTTCATACCCAGATATCAGCTCCATAAGTGGGCTCAGCAGCTGTATAGCAATTGGCCAGATGGTCTGAAGAGCTGGGAGCCCTTTATTGTTTTACCTAAGTGTTGGTGTGATGATTAGCAAAAGCACAACAACAAAAACAAGATATATTTATATTTTTAAATTACAGCTGTGGGTATATGAATAACTGCAGATTGTTATGGAGAAAATACGCATTAGAAAACCAGCATCCAATAAATCCAGTTAATTCAACTCTCAGCCAATACCAGATTTCTCCCCTACAATCACTTGTCCAATTTCAGAGACACAGAGTACAAACATAAAGTTATTGGATGTGGTATTGGCCGGACATCAGACAGCTCGAGAGACATGCTAATACACTGTTTTTTGCAAAAGACAGGTGGTCATAATCTCCACCAAGCCTTTCATATGTATCCCCTCCATACTTTGATCTGGTTCATTCACAAAGGCTGTATATTCTGTAAAGGGCCTTTTGTGAGTGCGCCCATTTTGCGTCTTTCCCCTCTTTTCCTCTTTCAAGATTCGGTGGCCCTTTTATTCCCTGTCTGTCTCTTGTTGTGGCCATATCAGTCCATCTCAGACCCAGTTATATTTAGAGGCACAGCACTATCAGGGTTTACAGCTGGCTGCCAGTGATTCACTTCTGACTGATCCACAACGTTCAAAGCAATCTCTCTCTTTATTTTGCCTGTACAGCCCATTTTTCTCTCCCAACCGCCTCCCCCACTCTTAACAATCTTTGTCTTGTACCCATGCTTATATTCCTTTGCACCGTCTCTCATCCTCAATTTGTGCCATTTGTATCGTCTTAGTCCGACTAAATCTCCTCTCAATTCAAATCCATAATAATTTCCCACTTTCTTTCTCAGCCAAGTGTCCATACAATACCTCTGTACGTTGTCAAACAGGTTTAATCAT